ATCGCTTATGTCTAAATAAATCTCTACAATTGCATTATTACTTTTGGGCAAATAAATAGTTTCAAAAGTGGAAAAACACATTGAGCTATGCCAGGAAAGAATATGTGCTTCTCAGAGGTGCATTTGAGAATCACACAGGACTTCCTGTTCCCACCTCATCTTATTAAATCAACATACCTATGCCAGAATCTCTGGAACTTGTGTGGGCATTTCATGAAACTCCATAGGCCATTCTGACACATCCCGTCTCCATTTGAGAGCCTCTTCTTAGTGATTTCTACTCCTCTCCTTCTTTAACATTAGCATATAGGAAGGCATTAGAGCCAGTCGCTGCTGGTCTGTATTTCACAGAATTAGTATTTTCTGCCTTTGATTGATGAGTTAGTGACCCAAATTCTCCTCTAGGTGTCAAGTTCACCATTGTATCCTCAGAACACAGTAGGGGATCAGCTTATGCCCTCAAATACTTGTTGAATGAATACATAAGCCTTAATACTTAAACGAGAGCTCTTCAAAATACTGGCGTAGCAGGAGACTTTAGACTCAGACTTGAGATTAAATCCTGGCTTTTCTACCTGGAAGCTTGTGACTGTAGGTAATATATTTAATGTTGTCAAGCTTCAGTGATTTTTTTTTTTAAAGGTGATGATAATACCCACCTTAAAGGTTTGTGAGGGTGAAATGAGGGAATTATAAAAAAAGAAAAAGTCTTGACACATATAGACTATACTATATGTGAATACTTACTGAAATTACTCATTCAACAAGTAATTATTGAACATCTACTATATGTATAGCAGTGAACAAAGAGACAAAGTTCCTGTCCATGTGGAACTTATCTTGTAATATGTTTTCTGAAGGGGGAGAATCAGAAAATAAATGGTTTCTACATGTCAGATGAGGAAGTGAAGGCTTGGATGTGAGGTCTGGAAGAAAGCACAGGGGCCCTGAGGCAGACGCATCCTTGTGCTGGTGGAGCAGCAAGGAGGAGAAGAGTAGGGGAGGAGTGGGCAGCAGATGTGAGATTTCTGCAGGAATCCCAGAGAGAGGTGATAATGACATATTAAGTTGATGAGCTACATAATAAATTGTCTTCAGTATCATATTCCATTTTTAATTAAAAGTAATAAAAATAGCTTATGCCTGTATAGCTCTTACTATGTTTCGGGCACTATTCTAAGTGTTTTACATATATTTATTATTAATCATCAATTCTTTCTAATAAAATATGCCCAGCTTCAGAGAATGAAGACATTACTCTAGGATGTACCTAGAATATGTTACTGGTTCAGAGAACACTTTCCAAGTTGTCATCCCTGATTTTTCTTGACTTGGTTGTGCAATGGAATCAAAATGTTTCATTTTGGGATGAGGAATGTGTTTGGGGGCACTTATGAGGCTTAAGATTCCTCCTATCCGGTGCTGACAGTGGATTCAGTGCCTCTGTTCATATCTGGTTAGCTTGCAAAAGGAAACCCTAAAGTGACTATAAAAAGGGGAAATTTGGGAGTCTGAGATAGGAGGAGGCCAGCCTGGGCTACATAGCAAGACCTTGTCTCAAAAAAAAAAAAAAAGGCCACCAATATTTATGCATTGGGTAGTTAAGTTCCATTTCATGAGAGAATTATAGATGTTCATAGCATTTTTATTATTCTTTCTGTTGCTTTTTAGCTCTTCTAGAATTTTTGTTCAAGGTTTTCATCTTAGCTTTGTTTTCACTATTAGTAAATAATACATTGCTCAACCTAGAACAATATGGAGGCCTAGGCTAGAAGGGGATCAAGTTTTGCCTTGGCAAGAGCATTGGTAGTACTGTGTCTCTATGCTTATCAGTTAGAGGAGCTGTTATCTCGTCCTTCTGAGCTTGTCTTTTATTGTTAAATCATAACATTGTAGTTGTCATTTATAAGCTTACAGTCAAGCCTACCATGCCTCCAATTCTAGCATGTCTTGCATGCAGACTCTCTGAGTTAGATGGATTCACTGAAAGTGAGCAAAAAAATTATTTTGAGGGTGCTTCTTTTACTTACCTTCTGGCATGAGTGATTCATTGTGCGCTCTTAGTTATTCTTATCACAAGTTGTCATTCCTGATTTTGTTTAACTTGTGTGGTGAAATCAAAATGTTCTTTTTTTGGGACTAGGATTATGTTTGAAGCACTTATGAGGCTTAAGATTTCTCCTATCCACCATTACCTTGAGTGCTCCATAAACATGGCAATTTGGTTCAACAACAGAGTGAATAACTGACAAATAGGTTCAAAGGTTTTTGCTTGTTTGTCAGTTTGGTCAGGTAAGAAGCTCAGTCTTTTAATTCTTGACAATTACAGCTTTCAAAAGAACATAATGTCAGGTATGTTTTGAGTTTTATTTTGGAATTATAGCCACTCCCTCAGGGTTTAGAGAAAGGATAATATTTTATCTCTTGTTTTCTTCTGTGGGGAAAACCACAAGATATTACCATATAAAACCAGGGATGATTATTATTGAGATGTCAGATAAGTAACATGTTTTCCTGTCCTGGACTCTCTTAGGACAAAAAGTTTAAGTTGAAGTTAGGGCATGGCCCCAGTTCTGAAAGCCTACCAAACTTTTGTTGATGTCAGTTGGAATTTCTGTAGCTCTGCAAAATCTGAGGGAAAAAAATTGCAGGTTGGCTGTAAATACAGCAAACATTTCCTTTTAGCTCACAATCCTGTTTCTGTTTGTGAATCTGTGAGACTGAGCTTTGTGAGTCTGGCAGCCTGAAAGACACTATCCTAGGATCATGGCTTGAGTGGCAACACCCTTGCCAGTTTTGTTTTATTTGAAGAAAAATAGTAATTGTGTTAAGCCTGGCATAGTAGTACAGTGCTGTAATCTTAGTACTTGGGAGGCTGATGCAGGAGGATTGAGAGTTTGAGCCCAGCCTGGGCTATATAGTGAGACCCTGTCTCAAAAAAAAACATAGACTGGGGATATAGCTAAAGTATTAGAGTGCTTGCCTAGGCATATGCAAGGCCCTGGGTTCAACCCCCAGCTTCAACTCCACAAAAAAAGAATAAAAGAAAAATAATTGTGGTAGAATTCCTTTTCTAAATCACCTTCCTGAATTAATAATACCGGCCTTAGTAGGACACAAGTTGATTATGTTTATAGCAGATATATACTTTATTGGGCATTCATTTTATCATTTATCCATTCATCCATTAATCAAAAATGTATAAGCCTCTGTTGAGTTCAGGGCCAAGCATATTAGGGTGTACACATCTAAATAAGATGTGATCTCCTTTCCTCTTTCAGGGTGCTCTCAGGCTAAAGAGGCAGGCATGTAACAGTAAGGGTAGTGTGTTACAGGAGTCATGCTTGAAACCTATGCAGATTACAGTGGGCATGCAGGAGGCAGCAACCAACTCTATATTGAGGAATGAGGGGTTTCTATGGTCAGGAAAACCCTGCTACTGGTGGTGACTTGAAAAGCAGAAAGTCATGTTAAAAGAAGTAACTGACGTTGCTGGTAGAGACCTGAGGGAGCCAAGCTGGATAAGACAACAAAACTGGACTATTCATGGAACAGCCAGAAAGAAGGAATTCTTAGTTTGCTGAAAGATAACTGATGTCAAGAATCAGAGCAGTCCCACATTCTGATCTGCTGTGGTCTTAAATTAAGACCATTGACATAAAGTACAAAGGAACATACAATTTTAACTTCCCATCATTGACAAGTTTGTCTAGTTTCCTCTGTATCTTCACAAAGTGTGTTATCCAGAGAAGGTATTTGGAATTAGAGGATTGTGTTGATGATGTCTGTATTGGGGCAGCTGAAACAGTGTTCTTCAGTGACAAAGGAGGCAGGTCTGTCAGCTCTGTTCACGTGCAGTCTCAGGGACACTTAACTGAGGATGCTCACACTTAGCGTTTTCCCAGGCGATTTTGCTTTACTCTTAATATAGTCACAAAAATAGGTTTATATGCATAGACAGGACAAGTATTTTACATTTAAAAATTGACTGAAAGGGAATGATAATGATGTCTAGATTTCATTTCCTAGCCTGCTTGAATATACAAGCTATACGGATTGTCAGACAAAAAGGAAAACTAGAAATACCGTGAGCCTGATCATCCTCAGACAGGTGGTACTATGTGCCTGACACTGTTCTACCCATTTTACCTATCTTAGTTCAGTATTTCTCATCGAGTTGAGTCCATTTTCATCCCATTTGGCAGGTAGGACATGGCACCTAATGGGGGAGCCACGTTTGTTCCAGCAGTCGGGCTGAGTGCATATCTTAACTACTCTGTATTACAGAGTCACTCAGGTAGGCATGTGGTGGTCATTGCTATATCCTGCGCCTGGTTGTGCTGGGTGTTTGTTAGTTGCTCAGTGAAAAACATGCAGTACTGCAGTGTGTGTGTGTGTGTGTGTGAGAGAGAGAGAGCGAGAGAGAGCGAGAGAGAGACACAGAGAGACAGAGACAGAGAGACAGAGACGGAGAGGCAGAGACTGTGAGAGACAGACCTATGCGAGCACAAGGTAGAGCTGTCAGAGGTGAAAGGATGCCTGACGAGCCTTCCACAAAAGCCCTGGGCTGAACCCAGCTAGGTCCACCGTGTCCTTTCGAGCCTTCTGACTGCCCCACGTTTGGTATTTCTCTGGCGATTTGCAGCAGGACATTTAAAGCCAGTGCTGACTGTTGGGGGCGTGGAGCAGGTGGGGAGGAGAGGCTAGAGAAGGGCATTGGCCGCCCGCGTGGGGGTAGAGAGAGGAGACTGGAGGGGAGCGGTTGCCAGCGCTAAGGGGCGGTGACTCAAGTCTCATCCCGGCGTGCGCGCTCCCGCTCGTGGGGGGGAGGGGCGCCGTGTGACGCATGCGGGGTGGGGCGCGACCCACGGGCTCGGGGACGTGAGGGACGCTGGCCGGGGGTAAAGCGGCGTGCTGCTCGAAGGGGTTGGCGAACCAGCTTAAGAGGTACGTGGGCAGGCCAGGGGCGCAGCGGGGCCTCGCAGGGCTGGCTCTGGCGGGGCGCGCATGCGTCCCGGGGCTCCGGCGCCCCTCGGGAGCTAGCGGACGCGAGCCTGTGCCCGGGAGACCCGCCGACGGTTCCTCCGCCGCCGTTCCTAGAAAAGGCCTCGAGAAGCCTGGAAAGCCGCATGAGTCACTGTGCTCTTGCCTAATTTTGCCGCTAGTTTTCTAGTTTTTGAACCAGGAAAGCCGTGCTTAGTTGTCATTGCGTGGTAGGATTGTGTGGAGGCTGTCGGGTCGCTGTGCGGGGCTGCTCTCGCAGTGACTTGGCGGAGGTGGAGGGATCGAGCGCGGAGAGCGCCGGTCTGCGGGTTGTGGCGAGCTCTTCACTTAACGTCTGCTTGTGCGGTTCTGGGCGAGCCGCCGAGACGCGGGCTGCGCATTCCTGCTTGTCCCGGTAGGGGAACTGGAACGGGCTCGGCCGATGAAGCGTGATTCAAAAAACAGCCTTCGTTATTCTTTTAACTGACAGAAGGAAGAGCGAGTCATGTCAGGAAGTGCCTCAAGTACTTGCCAAGTATCCGTTAATGATTTTAAATACGCCGTTGTTTTACTGCAAGTTTGTACACACGGTCTAATGTAGGCTGTCTTACCAAAGATTACCAAATTGGGCAGTATTTCGAATTTAGTAATCCGTAGAACACATATATGTGCTGTGGCTTGGCTTTTCTTCTTTTTAAACCAGTGGTGCGGGTGCCAGGGAAATAAGTAAAAAGTGGAGGTGTTTGTTGGGGGTGGGCAGGTGGCAAGGGGCAGAGAAGCTGAGAGCCGAGGGTAGGGCATGGTAATCTGTCCCACTGTTCAGACTCTCAGGACCTGTGATTACACGCATCTGAAGACAGGGCTCTTGCTCCAGTACGCCCTACTTGCTATAGCTGGCAGTATTTCGATTATTTATTTGCCTATCATGACAACCCGGGGTGCTGTGTATTTTTTTGATGTTATCCTGGGCAGATGATTTGAAAACCGGGTTATAATTTGAGGACTATGAAAATGGATTGAGAATTGTTATGGAAAACATTCTAGTAGTGAAGCAGTGGAATGTTAATTGTAAACTCTATTGGCAAATCAATTTATAGGTGACAATACAATACACTAAAAGGAGGAGTTCACCTGGGGGATAGAACACAGGTCTAGTCATTGGGAACCCAAATCTTACCTCTTATGATTGTGACCCTTTAAAAGAGTCATTTAAATTATGTGGGCCTTAGGCATCATCTGTGAAGTGTGGGTCCTGAACTAAAGATATAGCTAAGGGCTTTTTCAACTTTAAATTCTTATTGGTGCTGAGGCTTGAACCCAGGGCCTCGAGTGTATGAAGCAAGCTGGGAGCTACACCTCCGGCAGTTTTTCCACCTTTAAATTACAGTTATCATATGGCTAATTTGTGGTTACTTGCTCAATTCTGGTTCCAAGATCTTTGGATTTCATAACTAGTTTTGTGCAAAAGCATTGTCAAAGAATGACATGTGTGGCTTGTAGAAATCTTTAAGAAAACTCCAGCTTCTTTTATTTGAGGGATGTGTTTCTCTCCCCCTCCCTTACATTTTCTCTTCCAAAACTCAGGACAGGAATCAAGAAACAGGGAAGTTTTAGAAAACAATTTTGTCTTATAAAATCAGCATTTAAGGTAATCCTTGTTTGAAGGCTGTAAGGCAGTAGTTTGGATTATGATGGGGAAGATAAAAGAATATGTTCAGTAATTTTTAAGTTGACTTTTAGAATTAGAGTTAGTTTGCCCCAATGTTTGTATTGGTAAGAAAACAGGTAAATGTGTACCTACTTGGCATATATTAGAAGGCTTAGACCGTTGAACTTTGCCATTAAAAAGATTTGTCTTTTGCTATGCTGTCTAGAGACTAGATGGGGGAGGTATTATTTATTAAATAAGCACTACTTCCTTATCCTTAAGTAATGAGTCTATATTGCTATGCTTACTTATGAAGGAGGAAGTTAGGATCAAAAAGGGCAAAATGGTGGCCCAAGGTCATAGTACAGATAAATGGCTAAAGTGAGGACCTTCTCACTTGAAAGCCTTTGCCAGTTTTGGTCCTTGTTTCTATACTCTGAAAGTGGAGGTTCCCTCATCAAAACATAATAATAACTGAATTGTTAAAAAGTAACATCATTCAGGGGTTGGGGTCCAAGTACTCATAGGCAGATGTCTCCCTTTAACCTCAATGTATCTTCCACAAGTAGCTATTGTTAGTAAAAATTGCAGGAGATCGTTGCTTTGGACTAAGGTCCTGCTCTAGACCAGGCTAAAAGTCAAAATGGAGTCATTCACACCAAAGTTTCTCATTACCAAGCTGAAATTAAGTTGTTTTCTGATGACCTTACAAGAAATCAGGAGGAAGAAATCAGAAAAAGAACCGCCAAATTTCCCAGAAATCAGTTTTAGTTGGCATGGTAATAATTTCCTCTGCTTTAGTCCTTACCCCAAAGAAGTAACTTCTGTTTCTGGTCTATCTCCCTCTCCCTCCCGGCAAGGAATGTAACTTCATCCCTTCTTTATAAAACCAATCTTTTTTGCTCAGCCCTTTGGAACACTTGTTCTATTTTATGGAATAGTGTTGCCCAATTCCAGATTTAAAGAAAAAAGCCAGTTAAGATCTGGAAGTTGTAATTTTGTCCATCAACACTACTGTCATCTCCATTTTCCAGAGGAAAGTGAGACCTAGAGAGGTTAAGTTACCAGCTCAGGGATCCCAAATGTGTAGACATAGCATGGCCTTAGTTTTGTCAGAGTCCAAAGTGATCTGTTAATCATCATGCTTGCTATGCTGGCTCTTGATCCTGAAACAAGTGGTGAATTATTGTTGAAAATGACTATGTGAACTTAGTATCTCATGCAAGTCTCTTTATTTCATAAAGCTGGTTCACGCATTAACTCATATTCACCTGTGTGGTAGAAGTTTTGATTGCAGATCTGAAGGGGTTCCTCTTCATCACAGTATAGAGTATAAGCCTTTGCACATAGCTCCTTTCTTGGAACCAGGAATGTAGACGCTGACTGCTCCATAGGAAGGAGGAGGAGGGACAGAGCTAAGAGCAGCAGAAGGCTTTCCATAAAGACATGAAGCAGGTTTTCTTAGTGGCTGATAATTGGGCTCCAAAGACCCTTATTCTAGCAAGATGACTGTTTTGAAGGATAATATTCATTTTAATTTGAAAAAAATATGGTTCAGTTTTGTAACTTTTTAATCTCATGCTACATTCTGCCCATAGCTGATAAGGGGAAATCCAAGGTGTGTATTTTGGCCCATAGTCTCTTTTGGGGCAGTTGTATAGGGCTTACGATTGAATTGAGAAGACGTGTTTTAGGGTTCTAGTAGTATATTCTGCAGTGTGTGCAGTTTGTTTCCCAGAGCCCTGGTTTTTTTTTGACTTTATGAAACATTTTAATTTTGTGAAATTTACATGGTGCCAGGTGTTGTGGCATTCCACACAAGTGGACTTCAGGTGGAGATAGTTGGCTCTTGCATTTGAAAGACAGCTAAGCATGCCTTACATGGCTGACTTAGGTGCAGCATGAGGCTACTCATGGCAATGAGGTGACACTCCAGCTCGCTAAACCTTCCTACATTTATTTACCTGGGGGGTTGGCAGGTGGTTTCCAAAGTTGTACAGTGTGTATTGAGTGCACACCATGCTCTGCTTCACACAGGCTACTTACCATGTGAAGCATAGGCAGCAAAATAACCACAGCTGCTTTTTCCAGGGTTAGAAAAAAATCCCACAGGCCTCCTGCAAATCCAATTGTGGAAGCCCTTTTGTAGATCAGTATGGGGAAGCAGACTGAGGTAACAGAATTAGCTAATGAAAGTTAGAAAGTTTATTAAACTTTGAATTTCTTGTAGGAAATTCAAAGCTGGCTTTGCTGAGGTTGTTGATTTCAGGAATGTTAGGAAGTTCTTTCATGAGTTGCTTAAAATATCTCCTGTTAATCCTTTTCCCACATTGGGTCTATTCTGAGGAAGTCTAATTTTTCTATTCGGGGTCAAAATAAATATTTGAGACTAGTAATCATGTCCTTCCAGAGACTTCTCTTATCTAGACCAAACAGCCTTCCTTCCTGGAGAAGGTTTTCATGGTTTTGAGGCCTCTTTCCTGTTTCTAAATGTCCCTTTTCAAAGCATGTTACCCAGAAATAAATTTCAGTCTAATAATCATGGGAAAGATTTGCCATAAATGCTATACCGTACTATAAATGCAGTCACATAGCCTGTAAGTTAATTTCCCTCAGACTCAGCACAGTGCTCACTTATATAGTGCTTGCTTTCAGTGGAAGAGCTCCATCCTTAAAAAAAAAAAAAAAGAAATTCTGCCTTGTTCTTCCCATTTAAGTGCAAATAATTTGTAATTGTTTTATAAGATTTAATAGCTATATAGAAATTGTTTTAGAATCTGTTTTTGTCACAGTCCCATGTTATCTCTGGCTTTAACATCTTTATTCTATGTTTGCATCCAAGTAATTAGGGAAAACAGGGATATGCTGCCAAAAACTTTACACACAGGACTTAGTGAACTTGTTCTGGGCTACAGAGATCATTGCTTGCTTTTTCTAAGTGTTTAGAACAGTGTTTTGATTCTGGATCTGCCAACATGAACAGCAAATTATTCTTCCAGTGAGCTTTGTCAAGCTTTATTGAAACCCTTCTGTTCTTCTCACTATATCAGTATGTGCTTTTCTTGCCACTCTGTTTCTTATCTCTCCTTACCCTAAGCTTGTTAGAGAACCTTCTGTATTTACCCACACTGATTTCTATAAAAAATTCAAATCACATGAAATTATTTCTTAGCTGTGAAGTCATTCTTACATTCTTTCTCAGTTAAAAATAAAAACCCCATCTTCCTAATAAATTTAGGCAAATGCCAGTTCTAAACAAATGGTATTCTAAACTGTTATCAAATTATTGGTTAGTAGTTTATTTGCAAAGTAATTACAGATATTTCCATATACAGAGAAACACATACCTCATATGACCTCATGTACGTTATAAATAGAAAAAAATTTAAATTCCTTCTTTTTTTTTTTTTTTTTTGGCAGTGCTTGGTATCCAACCCACGGCCTCATATGTGCTAAGCAAGCACTTCTACCACTGAATGACATCCTCCTCAGTTCAGAAACTTAACATTCTAGCTAATGTTCTTAGAACATTTTTGGAGACATATGTCTTGTTGACTCAGGACTACTATTCAGAAATATATGTTCACATGTAAAGTGTCCCTAAAGTAGATTTACAGAATTTTATAACAGAAACAGAGGTGGAGGGGAAAAGAGAGGGAGGAAGCAGTGTTTATGAAGAGTATCCTTTGTGGTTGGTCCTGTGCTGAAAGTTGTCTAAATAGTAATGGGATCTGTTGGAATCATCATTTGAGTGATGATTGAAAGGTGTTTTTGAATTATAATTATGTTGCTTTTTTTTTTCTTTTTAAGGAACAGTGAGCAAAATGAACACCTCCCAGGACCAGAGTGGCTGCTCCAGTAATAGAGAACCCCTTTTGAGGTGTAGTGATGCACGGAGGGACTTGGAGCTTGCTATTGGTGGAGTTCTCCGGGCTGAACAGCAAATTAAAGATAACTTGCGAGAGGTGTGATGTGTACTTTTCTCTTCCTTTGAATGGGCTCAGCATAGGGCACGGCCAAGGACTTGGCTACTTAGTTCCAACCAAAAAAGCTTAATCCCATACCTTGCATGTTGTATTTAACCCTAGTCAGCTGCCAGGCATTTTGGTGCCTTTGGTCCCATGGGAAAATAGGCAGATGCTAGAAGAGTCTGGAAACTGTACCCCCTTGGAGAATTCCATTCAGTATGCATTTTTGATTACTTTGTGTGGTCTAAGCACTGTCTTCAGTGAAAATGACAAAAGGAGTAAGCAGTTCTGCTTAGCTGCATTCTCTTGATGTGTAAAGAATTACACTTCAGGAGCTGGAGGTGTGGCTTAAGTGGTAAAGTGCCTTTATAACAAGTGTGAAGCCCAGAGTTCAAACCCCAGTAGCCCCCCGCCACGAAAAAAAGGAAAAACTACATTTCAGCATGCCTTATCTTTTAACTTGGTGGCATGATTTTGGTTCTATAAATCACTTTGTCATTCTGTAAGCCAGAATGAAATTTGTTAGCTCCAATTCTGTTGGTGAATATACCAAGTAGTTTATGACTTTGAAACATAACTTTATTATATAGGAATAAAATATGTTCTATGATATAATTACTTACGAGGATTCTCGTGAATGATGGTTTTTTCCCTTGGAATTTTTGTATTTGGCCCTCATGTGAATAGTTGTTTATGCTCTTAGAAACATTTGGTTTATAATTTTACTTAATAACTGTCCACCGTAATGGTCCTCTAGTTGTTGACATGTGGTGGCATATGTCTTCACTGAATTGGACTACTGTAAATGAACTGGTCATCCCATGCATGTGGGAAAAGGGGGTAAGAGCTGGCCATTAAGTTAATTCCTGTTGTCATTTGTTGGTTAGCTTGTAAATCCATATTTTAAAATTATATGGAAAATTGAGGGGGATTAGTATCCCTGGCATGCTTTCTTCTGATTACTTTAGCATACCTAAAATAAATCTGATCTTAGGAAGAGGAGTATTGAAGGAGGATTTCAGAGCTTAGGTATATTCTTTCTTTCTTTTTGGTTTGGTATTTTATTTTTGGGGGGGTGAGGTTTGAACTCCGGGCATTACACTTGATTGGCAGGCACTATACCTATTGAGCCATGCCTCCAGTCCTTTTTTGCTGTGGTTATTTTGGAAATAGGGCTCGCTTTTTGCCCAGGGTGGTCTGGTCTGTGATCCTCCTATTTTAAGCGGTAGCTGGGATGACAGGTGTGTACCACCATGCCTACCTATTGATTGAGATGGGGTCTTATGAACTTTTTTTGGTGCAAGTTGGCCTTGAACAGTGATCCTCCTCATTAGCTAGGGTTACAGGCATGAGCCACTAACACCTGGTCTTATACTTTTCTGAGTAGGTTTCTTCACTCAGATTCATAGGGCTTTATGGATCATGGATGGGCTTTTTGGTAAAATTTTAGACAAATTCTGATTTTTTTTTTGGTATTGAGGGTTGAATTTGGCTTCACATTTCACAAAGCACATGCTGTAGCACTTGAGCCACACCTCTAGTCCATTTTGCTCTGGTTGTTCTGGAGATGGGAGTTTCTGAGACTATTTGCCTCAAACCATGATCCTCCCAATCTGAGCCTCCCAAGTAGCTAGGATTACAAGCATAAGCCACCATTGTCTGGCTAGGCAAAATTTTGAATATATGCATTTTTTTTTTTGGGAAGACATTGCATGGATGTTATTGTATAATCAAAAAGATTTCTGACCCACAAAAGCTTAAAACCCTCATTGCTTTGTGGGAAGTGTTCATTGGGCTTAAAACACTGGTGAAGCTAACATGCATATGTTTCCTAGGTGAAAGCTCAGATTCACAGTTGCATAAGTCGTCACCTGGAATGCCTTCGGAGCCGTGAAGTGTGGCTGTATGAACAGGTAGATCTCATCTATCAGCTGAAAGAGGAGACACTTCAGCAGCAGGCTCAGCAGCTTTATTGGGTAAGGTGGCTAATTATCTAGGATCGGTAACAGTTTTGAGTATGGTTTCTGGTTTCTAAATGTCCTTATAGTGCATGATTAATATAAATCAGATAAAAGTTTAATTTTTCATTAAAAAATTTTTTTGGGGTAGTACTGGGGTTTGAACTCAGGGCCTTGCGTTTGCTAGGCAGGTGCTCTTTCACTTGAGCCACACCCTAGCACTGCTTTAGTTACTTCCTGGATAGGGTCATGCATTTTGGCCAGGGTTTAGCATTGGACCCCAATCCTCCTAGCTGTGGCTATCTCCCACGAAACTGGGACCACAGTTGTAGATGGGCTCATAATTGTACCTGGGACCACAGCTGTGGCTGTGACTGTAGTTGCGAGCCACCATGCCTGGCTTGTTTGTTGACAGTGGGGTCTTGCTAATATTTTGCCCAGGTTGGCCTCGAACCTCCTGATCATCTCTCAAGTAGCTGGATTACAGGCCTGTGTTACCACACCTCTAAAAGTTTAACTTAAATGCTGTTCACTAACTTGGATATAAATGGTCCTTTTAGTATCATTGTGGCAAGATGGTTTCATTTTTTCTTGTAGTTATTGGGTCAGTTCAATTGTCTTATTCATCAGCTGGAGTGCACCCAAAACAAAGATCTAGCCAATCAAGTCTCTGTGTGCCTGGAGAGGTAAAGACTCTTTTTACTTTTTACTTCTGGCTTTTTGACTTTTGCATAGTAAGTCATTTCATATGTTGGGTTTAACTTGACTTTTCTTGTGATAAGATCACCCTGCTTTATATATTTAGTGTTATACTTTCTGATAATGTGATTAAGCCTTCTACTTGGTTGAATTAGAAAAGTGCAATCATTTAAAATTATAGCTATTCTTTAAAAATAGCCATATTTTATTTTTCCCAGACTGGGCAGTTTGACCCTTAAGCCTGAAGATTCTACTGTCCTCCTCTTTGAAGCAGACACAACTGCTCTGCGCCAGACCATCACCACCTTTGGGTCCCTCAAGACCATTGTGAGTAATAGTGATCTCAGCTGTTTCATAGTGTGCTTCTCATGTCTGGCCTTATAAATGGTCTTTAGAAAAAGTTTTGTTAGGAGTAGTAACTTTCTGGAGGCAGTAACCTTCAAAAGCTTCCTGTTCTGATAAAGTTGATAGAGCATTAGGCTGACAGTTCCTATACTGTGTTATTGATTCATTGATAGTCTTTGAATTAGTATTTTAGCTCTTTAAATATTTTGACATTTTCTAAGATAAAATTTGTAGCTCAAATGGTTTTTAGTAAAGAAGCAAACAGTCTAATTTGGGTCTTGTTAAAAATAATGATGCTACCATTTGTAGTGACAGTTTCTTATATGATAAATTATATAGAATTTTCAGATTGGATCATTCATAGGTCATTGAGTTTAGTGTGAACACTGTTCTAGTTAAATGATAACCCTTTGCTTAATACTTTTCAAATTTAAAATTGTGGTTTACTTTTTTTTTGTAGGAAAGCATAGCATAAATAACATTAAGTTATCTTCATTTTGTAGCAAATTCCTGAGCACCTGATGGCTCATGCTAGTTCATCAAACTTTGGACCTTTCCTAGAGAAAAGAGGTTATATGCCAATGCCAGAGCAGGTAAAATGTCATTTTGTCTTTGATAATTATTTGGTTTGTATTTCCTTTTTTGCTAATGTTTTTTTGTAAAGGGCCACCAGTAATAGTTTATGCAACTGAATAAGTCTCTTGAAGCATTGAGTGTCAAATGGAAGTTGTTTTGTCAGGCGCCAGTGGCTAACACCTGTAATCCTAGATAGTTGAATGGCTGAGATCAGAAGGATTGCGGTTTGAGGCCAGCCCCGGCAAATAAGTTTGTGAGACCTCCATCTCCAAAATAATGAGAACAAAATGGACTTGGTTGTGTGGCTCAAGTGGTAGAATGCCTGCTTTGCAAGCATGAAGCCCTGAGTTCAAACCCTAGTCCCCTCAAAAGAAAAAAAACCTGAGTTCTATAGTTCTTAAATAAAAGTGAAGCAATTAGTTCATAGAAAATTATTATTAGCTATCTTATTGGTATTGATTCTCTCTTAGGGATCTGCTAATTCATAGAGATGTTTTATTTGTAAAGGCAGTGTAAATAAGAGATCCTAGACATTTGGGGAGAACTTTAGAGATGACCTAATTCCTTATTTTAAAATTATGATGATTGAAGCCCAGGGAAGGCATGTGACTTGCTCAGAGTCCATAATAGCTGACTTAGCATGAGTTTTCTATTTTTCTGGTAACCATTCTATTGCATTTGATATTGCCTTGTTAAGCAGCAAAGATTTTTATGTGACTTTCAGAAGTCAACATCCAGTAGCACAGCTATTCCTCTCAGCGAATGGCTTGTTGGAAGCAAATCTGCCAGTGGCCATCAGGCTCCTTACGTGCCCAGCAACAACCTCCAGGACTGGCTTACCCAAAAACAGACTTTGGAGAATAGTCAGGTATGTGGCTGCCATTATTGGTTCTGAGGTAGATATAGTAATGGACAAGGTTAGCTACTCATCAGTAGTTTATGCCTTTGCTTCATTTTTGATCATAATCTGGAAACATGTTTTTTTTTTTTTTCATTTTTCTTTTATTATTCATATGTGCATACAAGGCTTGGTTCATTTCTCCCCCCTGCCCCCACCCCCTCCCTTACCACCCACTCCGCCCCCTCCCGCTCCCCCCCCCAATACCCAGCAGAAACTATTTTGCCCTTATCTCTAATTTTGTTGTAGAGAGAGTATAAGCAATAATAGGAAGGAACAAGGGGTTTTGCTGGTTGAGATAAGGATAGATATACAGGGCGTTGACTCACATTGATTTCCTGTGCGTGTGTGTTACCTTCTAGGTTAATTCTTTTTGATCTAACCTTTTCTCTAGTTCCTGGTCCCCTTTTCCTATTGGCCTCAGTTGCTTTAAGGTATCTGCTTTAGTTTCTCTGCATTAAGGGCAACAAATGCTAGCTAGTTTTTTAGGTGTCTTACCTATCCTCACCCCTCCCTTGTGTGCTCTCGCTTTTATCATGTGCTCATAGTCCAATCCCCTTGTTGTGTTTGCCCTTGATCTAATGTCCACATATGAGGGAGAACATACGATTTTTGGTCTTTTGGGCCAGGCTAACCTCACTCAGAATGATGTTCTCCAATTCCATCCATTTACCAGCGAATGATAACATTTCGTTCTTCTTCATGGCTGCATAAAATTCCATTGTATATAGATACCACATTTTCTTAATCCATTCGTCAGTTGGAAACATGTTTTTAATAATTCTTTAATTACAATAGTGACATCTCATCACTATAGTTTAAAAAGTAGTCCATAAAGATATACAAACCCCATAATCCATAAGTGAAGACACACTAAAACATTTTTGTTTATATACTTTTTCTCTGCATACTTTAAAAAAAATCATTCTATAAGTTCTGCTTTGGTAAGATTTTTTTCCCTCCACCAATATATAACATGAATATATTTCTACCATTTAATTTCTTGCATAAAATCTTTCCTTACATACAGTTCATTGATTGATTAGAAGTTAGATTCAAGTTTTTCTGGATATAAGCAAAGCTTCCGTAAACATTTAGGAGCCAATTAGTTATGCTCATCCTTGATCATTTCCATAGGAGTAAATTCCTAGAAGTTGCATTCTAGATTATGGTGTTGCCTATTTTTTAAGACTTGATACATAGCTAGTTTAGCTTTCTTGGACATTGGTAATAGTTGATGTTCCTAACAGCAGAGTATTTATTCACCATGAAACCTCTCTAATAGTGGTAGTCATTTATAAGATTTTTTTCCTCTGAATTTGACATAAAACATTAATTTTGCTTTTTAGTTTCTTTAATCAGTAAGGCAGTTGAGTATTTTTGTTTCTTAGACTTCTTTGATTACATGGCTGGCTCTATTTATAAAGGTATTAGGTAGAGAAACTAATTAAATAAAAACAATGTCACAAGTACTTTCTTAGATTCCTTAGATTTCGAGTTACAGAAAATGGAATTTTTATATAGTATAAGAGAATCCCTTGCCTCTTTGGTTTGTACATTTAAATTTAGAAAAATACTGGGCAAGTTAGTAAATATAAAGACTGACTGCAAACGTAGTCATATAGTTATTCTGGCAAACTAATGCTGTGTACATCTTATGTAGACTTCTGCCCGACCCTGCAGTTTCTTCACCAATGTCTGGGGCAATCTAAAGGGCTTAGAAAACTGGCTCCTCAAGAATCAGCAACAAGAAGTTCCTGAAAAACCAAGTTCTCAAAAGTGTAACAGCCATTCTACCACCAGTCCTTTCTCCATCAAAGTTGAAAAGGCTGAGGATCCAGAGCTCCTTGATCAAGATGAGATGGACCTGTCTGATTGGTTGGTGTCTCCCCAGGAACCCTGCAAGCTGGAGAAGCCTGAGAATGGCAGCCACGAAACCAGTGAGAAGTTTAAGCTCCTATTCCATGTGTTCCAGGAGCCTTACAGTGTGAATGATTGGCTTGTGAAGCCTGACTCCTGTACCAACTGTCAAGGTAACCAACCAAAAGGTGTGGAGATTGAAAACCTGGGCAATCTGAAGTGCCTGAATGACCACTTGGAGACCAAGAAACCACTGTCCACCCCCAACATGATTACCGAGGATTGGCTTGTCCAGAGCCATCAGGATCCATATAAAGTAGAAGAAGTGTGCAAAGCCAACGAGCCCTGCACAAGCTTTGCAGAGTGTCTGTGTGATGAGAATTGTGAGAAGGAAGCTCTGTGTAGATGGCTTCTGAAGAAAGAAGGAAAGGATAAAAATGGAATGCCTGTGGAACCCAAACCTGAGCCTGGGAAACATAAGGAATTCCTGAGTTTGTGGCTTTGTCCTTCCAGAAAAGAGGTAACAGAACAAGCTAAGGCACCAAAGGCAACAGCACCTGCTAGAATTGCTGATTCCTTCCAAGTCATAAGGAATAGTTCTTTGTCAGAGTGGCTCATCAGGCCCGTATGTAAAGAAGGAAGTCTCAGGGAAGTGCCTAGTATGGACAGAGATAGCAAACAAAAGCTTAAAAGCCCCATGACCACCTCCTGGTGTCCCTTTAACACTGCCGACTGGGTCTTGCCAGGAAAGAAGGTGGGAAACCTCAGCCAGTTATCCTCTGGAGAAGACAAGTGGCTACTTCGAAAAAAGGCCCAGGTGAGCACAGACATCAGAATTGTTCTGGTTGAGTTCTACTATAATTACTGTAATTCTGAATCTTGCAAATGGGCCAGATCCTTAAATATGTTAATTGCTAAATTTGGCTGAGGTTAGTAATTTTTATGTCATATTAGAAACTGGAGGGAGGATTTATGATTATTCAGACTGAGTTATTTGTGCACTTTCTAGAACCCCTGCAAGAAAGAAAAAAACTCAGCCTGTTTTATTGTATTTGTGCAAAAGATTCAGGATACAGATAACATTTCCCTAGAAAGAATGACCAATATTTAAATTATTCTTTATACAATTTGGGAGGTAAGTTAATCTTACGCCTCCCAATTCTCATGAAGCAACTTACCCTTTTTGTCTTTGTGCAGGAAGTATTTCTAAATTCACCCCTACAAGAGGAACGGAACTTTCCTCCAGACTGTTACGGCCTCCCAGCAGTTTGCGATCTCTTTGCCTGTATGCAGCTTAAAGTTGATAAAGACAAGTGGTTATATCGGACTCCTTTACAGGTGGGTACATGCCACCATTGTTTCAGATTGTTGCTGTTTATAAAATGTTTTGTCATAACATATGAAGTCATGCTTTGCCCAAGGAGCCATATTACTGTTAATTGTATACACAGTTGGGAGAGGAGCTCCTAAGAATTGTAGGTATTGCACTTGAACTTTATCTGTAGGTAGACTTACTTGAAAGTTACCTTTCAAGGTGCCACTGTAATTTTCAAGTGGATTGTATGTCTAGTCGTGGGAATTTCCTTTTTCTCCAGTGAAGTGACTCATCTTGGTCTTTTTTTTCTCTTTAATAGATGTGAAGGAATGGATTGTTAGTGGAGCTGCTTTCTGCAGATTATCATACATACATCCGTGAGCTGAGTGACTGCAGTTTGCCAAATCATTATTTCTGGGTCTGACCAGTTTAGTTCCTTTCCTGCCTAATTTTGAATTAGTGAAATGAAGTCATCAAACTATGAGTTACTTTGTAAGAAAGAGGCTGTTGATGCTGAGGTGATGCAGTTCCTTCTTACAGAAGTATTAACCTAATTCACCCCTGTACTAGAAATACAGCATCTTGGTGGGTAGGTCTTCACCAGCTTCCACAGCGCCATAAATTGGGTTGATACTAGAAGTACATGAACACTGTAGTTTTAAAAGTGAGTAATTTATATAATCAGAAGTGTGTTAATTGTGTTGTAAAGCTAGTAAACTTCACTAACCTTTTGATTGCTCTTGAGATGCTTTTGTGGGCTTTCTTCTAGTGGTCCAAAATTATGATTCTGTTCAGTTAATTTATAGGGTATTTTTTTCCTTATCAAACTGCGTATTAGTAATCTTGGCAACTTTTGACACTTCCAGATACTTTAGCCTACATATCATTTCTACATTTTTTTTTCATTATTTGAAAAAAATCCAGCTACTACAAATTTTGCATTTATTCTTTCCTGTTTGAGAAGTATTCTTGTTTCAAAACCATTTTCAGGGTATTCCTAGCCTCTAATAAAATCTACAGACCTACCCAGGCTTTTAAGAGCCCCAGTGGTAATAGCAAAAAGGCAGATGTGTTGCAAATGTAGTACTTGGACCATTCACTATCCTAGGGATTACTAGTGTATCCTGTGTAAATGAAAACTGAGCTGAACACCTGGTGCTCTTAACTAGGGTTACAGTCTATCTTATCACTGCAAGCACAGCATTCCTGAACCTCCAAATTATAATGCAGTGACATTTTAGTGAATAGGTTGCTTTAAACACTTGTGCCTTGGGCTGCTTATTGAAACTTTATGAAAACTATTGATATTTTCTCAATATCCTTAAAGTCACGTCCATGGTTTAAAAGTTCCTCTGTAGGACAGAAGTGGGATTTATATTTAAAATTCTCTAGGATAAGATCTTACTTAGCTGCCTTCCAGGCTTTAAAACTATTAGACCTCATAACTGCCTATGTTATTGGAAGTACTTTTGGGGAAACTTCAGTGTTCCACAATGACATCACCATACAGCTTTACTAGAAATCTTTGAAGAACAACAGCTGAAAAGAGCCTCATATTTTCTTATACCCCTCAGATACCATTAAGAATTATTATAGTCAAGGTGGTGGGTAAAAAACAACCTGAAGAGCCTTTTCAACATCTTACGTTGCTGGAAACTTTGTGGTTTCTTTTTTGAAGTCTAGTACACTGTATTTTACATTATTAAAATGTAATTTACATTAATCACTATGCTAATGAGTATGTAAAACATTCTTTTGCATTGATGCATTTTATACTTCTCTCCATTAAAAGCATATAGGCTATACCACTGTTGTATGTGTGCATTTGTAAAACTTGCAAAATGTGCTATCGTGTTCTATAAATGTGGTAATCTCTATTAATACAGTCAACAAACAGTTTATTCACTATAATTTATGAATCTTAAATTAGCAAAGTGTAGGTAATTACTTCCATTTCAACCTTTTCCTGAAAACTCTTCACATTTTTTTCTTTTAAATCTATGGGTCTTAACACCTAAGGTTCAGTACTTTTGTTGGTTTGATTCTTTTACTAGGTGCCTCCAAAAATGGCCCAGTTTAACTTTTTTTCCAATCATACAAGTCCCAAGTTGCTTAGTATTTATTTTGTGTATGTGCACCTGTAGTACACTTACAAGTGATTTCATTTTATAGATAAGAAAACAAACTCAGAAAACAAGTAGCTATCCCTTATTTTTGCTGTCCAAAGGCTTCTTCGAAAACTTCTAGTCCCTGATTATTCCCAGAAAGGAATGAGGTACTGGGTACAGAAGGACACAGGTTAGACTGACTGTTGGGACACTGTTTTAGCATACTACTATAATGATGAAATACCAGAGTGTATAATGTCAGCTCTATGGGAGAAAAATCTTCTTACCCTAGCTGTTAATGCCAACATCAGGCTTTCCTTTCAATCAAACATGAAAACATTGTTTTGGCCTAGTTTAGGCAGGACAAAAGATTCAAGAGTCAGTTTCATTTTATATCCAGGCAGATTTTTTTTTTTTTTTGGTGGTACTGGGAATTGAATTCAGGGCTCTATATTTGCTAGGCAGGTGCTATATAATCACTTGAGACATACCCTAATGAAGACATCAACTGTATTTACATTGGGAGTTATGACTTTTGTTCATTTTCACCCTTTATTTGGAATACAGGCCAACAATACAGTTTCAGAATATTAAAGGAACATACTTTGTGATAAAATAATAAGCATGACCTGAATTCTGGGAATAAGTGGTTTTCCAGTTCAGGTGGGAGGAGAAAGAACAGGTGCAAGACCGTCTCCAAAGGAGAAGAGAACTGCATTTCTCAGTCAGCCACCAAAGAGTTTTGGCTTCACTCACTATGAGCAAGAAGTGCAGGTCCTGGTCAACCATTCATGATCTTCATTACAGCAAATAAAAATCTTCACTTTTTCAAAGTAACTATAGGTAGAAGTAACTTGGCTGACTTATTGATAAGACTATTGCTGTCCTCCATGAATGAGTTTGCAAAATCTTCAGAGTGACTGTTGGAGCAAGGAGCCTTTCATGTGCTCCCAGTTGTTATATAGTGCATAGAGGCTGGTAAGTGTTAGTCCTGCAAGACCACCCCGTGCTACACCTCGAAGACCACCTAGGAGAAAAGGAATATGAAAAAAACAAAGAAATAACCTTATTATATTGCATAGTGTCCTGTCATATCAAATGATTAAGGAGTATGATAAAATGGAAAGACATCCTGGAGAGACACCATAGATTTTAAAAAACATTCCATCCCAAACAGGAGAAACACTCTTAAGACTTAAGTCCAGGAGATAAATTTCATATTTACAACCTCCCCCTACTCCATTTAATTTCAATTTGTACCTAAAATAATCAGGATTAATGATGTCATTTCTTTGTATCCAACTTGTAACTACAGCAATTTTAGATGTTATTTTTGAAGTTCTAATTAGATCAGTCATTTCTTGCTAGACATAGTTTAGAACTTCACTAGCTCCATTAATGAATTTAAGGCTGTAAAGCAAGGTGAACACTCAGTGGAAGCAGTGTTACCAGTCTTTGGACTCTTGGACAGGTCCTTCAGATATTAACTTTGAGGACACAAGAAGCAGTAATGATAAGATAGCTCTCATTAAGTTTTGAGTCAGGTGCTGATGAAACACTAGCCTGTCAGCACCTCCCACACTTGCACTGGTATGTCAATTTCCCACAACTAATGAGCAACCAGGCACTGTACATGAGCATACTAGTTGGAAAATACTCAAGAATTAGACTTTGAACTATTTCTGCTTGTCAATAAAAGAACAATTTTTCATGTGAAAAAGAGGGTATTCTTTAATAGGTGTATCATCTGAAATGCAGAAACAAAAGTGTGTGAGTCACTTGAAAATATTCCCCAGCTCCAGTAAAAGGAAACTACACAGAAATTTCTCAAAATAGAAAATGCCCCAACCAATTTAAGAAACTCCAACTGGGCGCCAGTGACTCACGCCTGTAGTCCTTATCTACCTGGGAGGCTGAGATCAGAAAGATTGATGCTGGAGGCCAGTCTAAGGCAAACAGTTCTCGAGATCCTATTTCCAAAATAACTAGAGCAAAAATGACTGGAGGACTGGCTCAAGTGGTAAGAGTGCCTGCTTTGTAAGCATGAAGCCCTGAGTTCAACCTCTAGTCCACCTAAAAACTAAGCTAAACAAAATCCATAGGAATAAGAGTTCCCAAAGAAACTTTAAAAGAATGTGATAATCTCTTGCAGCTCCACAAACAAGTTACCTCATTAGAGGCCTCTGGGCACCATGCCAGTCAATTCCATGAAATTGAGTGATGCTGTTGTGGTAGAACACTTCACAACTAACATTTCTGCAATGTGTCCTACCAGATGGCTTTAGCTGATAGATTAAAGGGTCACTCCCTGCAAGAATCTCTCCAGTCTGAAGACTTTTGATAGCTGACCTGCTTAAGTTCTTCTTAGGCTTCTACTGTGAAAAGCCACAACTATCTCTCTTAAACGACACAAACAAACTGCAGACATCATAAACAGCAAGTGTGTGGAATGGGGATCACAAACATTAAGAAAAAGCCCCACAAATCAAAGTAAATGAGAGTTATTCTCCTTGAAGTCCTCATTTCTATCATTTTGTTGTATACTTAAGACTGTTGGTGTGGCAGCTGAATTTGCAACTGAAAAAAACAAAAATTGAAAATGTGAATTCTTCCTGCTAACTCAAAATAATGTAACTCAGTTTAATAAGGATTAATTTTAGGCTTTTGATTACTAGGACAAAGAAAAAAAAAAGCTGTAGGGCTGAAAGTGAACTATAGTTAGACCAAAATCCTAAAACTGAAAAAATAAACTGAGGCAAAGAATAAATGCTAAAAGCATCTAAAGGGCATCACTATGACTCAGTTACTAGATCTAAATGAATCAACACAAAAGACAGGCCAAGGTGCCCTACCCACCATTTGTTAGAAAATGACAGGGCAGGTAACTGAAAGCACAAAAATCTTTCAGATACTATTTCCTACAACCAAACATTCAACTTCATACTAACTCCCCTGTACATTTAGTTCTTTACAGATCCAAAGGACTTTAAAGTCTGCCTGGGACCACTGCTCAGTGGCAGAGCACTTGCATAGCATGTACAAGACCCTGGTTTAATCCCTAGAAATGTAAAGAAAAACAAAAACCAAGAACAGTCTGCTCACTGGTTTGGAAAGAGCTGTAAACCATTTCTTCCAACTGATTCTTTGCTGTGAGTATCCTAAGAACATGGTTTCTATGTGTCCCTTTTGGAAGAAATTTCACACTACTTCTTAGTTACCAAATAATAAGCCTCTATGGGAATCTTCTGGCATAGGCACTAGGGGTCACATAACCAAAATGGGATCTGTAAGACTTGAGTAGATCTTTGGGGTACATTAAATATCCCTTAAAAAATAACTGATTCTCTAAAAAGCATTCTTTCTAGTGAAAAGAAAAGCTTAGTTCCAGCCAATGAAGTTATGTACTTCTTTAAAGGCTTTAGAAAGAAAACTGTTATCTCCAGCAAGGAGACACCAAACACATGCAGTGCTTGATTTACTAACACAGCTAATCCTGACTCAAGTACCCTTTCACCACACAGCAACCATGTTTTAATTTTAACTCTTCCCATTAATTTCAGGGTTCCCTGACTGGTCCATTTGTTAAAGCTTAAGTCCTCTGTTTTAGGTTTTCTGTGATTAACTTCTGCCCAACTAAGCACAGGAAGTTGGTCAGCAAATGTACTTGCTTTGCACACAGAGTAAGAAAACAAGGTCAACGGTCAATCTCTTTAAAACATAAGACTTGGGTTTCAGTTTTACCTACTACCTTGCATCCTTAGACAACTCTTTCAGAGAGATAGGGCAAGTATTACCTTTAGCAAACATGAGAAATGAGGCTTAGGATACCAGAATATTTAAGTGCCTTGTTTATGGGATATAGAACTGGCTAATGGGACAACTTACCCATTAAAATGGCAATTACTTTAGAGCAGAGATTAGCAAATCTTTCTTAAAAAGGACCAGATAGTAAATGCTAGGCTTTGAGGGTCACAGGTTATTATGTAAGTACTTTAACCTTTTTCTTTTGGTGCTGGGAGCTTGTGCATGCTAGGTAAGTGCTATAGGTACTTATGCAATAATTTAAAATGTAACTTTTAAAAAAGGTAGAACATTCAACATTCTGAGCTTTCACACAGTAGACAGGTGGGCCCTACTTTAGAGGAATAGTCTTATGCCCTGAGATGCTTACGTGGTATTATTTTTTGGGCTTTGGAGAGACTGTATAATTGTTTAAAAAACTTTAACTCATGTTTTAAACATACGTTACAGAGGTAAGGTGCATGCCTAGCATGTGCAAGGTCCTGGATGATCTCCAGCACCAGAAAAGTAAATAAGTAAAATTGTGGCATAATACATGTAACATAAAACTTAATTATGCTTAAGTATACTGTTTAGTGGCTATTATCATGAATATATTCAGAAAACTTTTTTCATTTCGTACAACTGAAACTCTGAATCCATTAAGCATTAACTCCTTACTCCTTATCCCTGGCAACCACCATTAATTACACTTTTTATCTACAGACTTTGATGATTTTAAGAACGTCATGTAAGTAGAATAATATAGTATCCATCCTTTTTTGATGGACTTATTTTGCTAGCATAATATCTTTTAAGGTTCATTCATGTTGTGGCATGTGTCAGAATTCCTTCTTTTTTAAGGTTGAATAATTTTTTTTTGTATGTATATACCACATTTTTGTGTATCCATTCATCCATCAATGGATACTGGTGTTACTTCTACCTTTTGGCTATTGTGAATAATGCTGCTAAGAACAAGGGCATGCTAAACATCATTCAAACTTCAAGAACACTCAAATCAAAGTCCTAACAGTTGGACCAAAATGGCCTGGGTAAATATCAAATTCTGCTAGAAGACAGAAAAAGAACTAACATTCATTGAGTTAGGATATGATAGGATATTGTTTTTTCAACAATAAACACTCACTGTAATTTGTCTCATTTAAAATACATCACAACCCTTAAAGTGGTCTCATGGCCAAATTTGATGGATGAAACCAGTATTAAAATGACCATTTTTAAAATGTCACATAGCTAGTAAGAAATATTCTAAAATTTTCATCACATTTGTCTTAAATGGTTTAATTACCTGCCCATGTTTTATATTTATGCCTCTGAAAGATACCTCTAGTCACTATGTTGCTTTATTATGTATTATACATCTGATTAACTGAAGTTTTTTTTTTTTTTAAATAATTCTTCCAACACAAATATCAGGTAGTATTTTTACTTCACAGACATAAAAGGAAGTCTCAATAGGATTATAATATCTAAGTTTTCCTGAAATACTTGAAAATAAAACTCTTTTTTCTATATTGAAAACTGACTGCACTTAGAATTTTGTTTTGGTGGGACTAGGGCTTCAACTCAGGGCTTCACGCTTGCAAAGCAGGCACTCTACCACTTAAGCCATGCCTCCAAGCCCATTTTACTTTGGTTATTTTGGAGACAGAGTCTCTTGAAGTATTTGCTGGGGATAGCCTCAAACCATGATCGTCCGTATTTCAACCTCCCAAGTAGTGAGGATTATAGGCAAGGGCCACTGGTGCCGGGCTGCACTTGAAATTCTATCTTTAAAAGCACAAAATACTTCTTGTCATTCATGTGTACACACATGCACTAAGGTAAACATAGTTCCCAGGATAGCAAGCTCGAGTGTGAATAACTTTTATGTTCTTGAAAAAATTTACCCTTCATAGTATTTTTACAAACATAAAAATACCTTCACCTTGAAAGTCTTCGGAGTGAAGCAAATTTAAAACTAACTGACAACACAAGGTGCACTCAGCCACCAAGAGATTTGTTGGCCCAAACTGTCTAAAAACATGAAATTGACATTTAAAAAAAAAAAACAGGAGACTTCACACAAAATTCTGAGACTCCAGCTTCATTTGAATAAATAAAAGAACCAACCTCACTATACATGATGGCAAATGGCTAGAGCTTCTAGCTCAATGTAAGGGCATGGAAGCCCCAAGTCAGCCCTACCACTCCCTGTTCTCTTATACAAGCTAGGCCATTATGGTATCTCCTGTCTTCTGGCAACCCTGAAAGTAAGGATGTATTAAATTAGCATCTGATTTAAGACAAAAAGGCAAAAAGAAATTCTAGGTCAAGTGACAAACATATTTCAATTTCCATTGCAAAGGTAGGAGAGAGAAGTAAAAAAATAACCACAGCAAAGCGACAGAGTGCCTGCTTTGCTTTGCAATCAAGTGCAAGAGCCCTGAAATCAAATTCCAGCCTTACCAAAAAAGCAGTGAGTTAACATTTTATACTAGTAATGTAAGCAGGGACTTCAAAGGGTACTTTGGTAATAGTTATTAACATTTAAACATGTAGATTTTTGCTTAAGTAACCTGGATCTCAGCAATTTATCATATGGTGCAAAATTGTACTCTAGTGTTTAAGGGAAGCTTTAAGAAGGCTTTATCTGAAGAAAGACAGATGAGGAAGCATGTGAGACCCATGTCTGGAAAGAGTGATCTAAGAAAAGGGAACAGCAAGGAAAAAGGTCCTCAAGTACAAGTTAAAGAAAAGGCAATAGGAAGAGTAGCTGAATCTAGAACCTTTAAGGTGGCCAGGGAGCACATCATGAAAAAGTGATTAAAGTACAGTACATTTACAGGTAAAATACCAAGACAAAACCACTGAACAATGAACGTTTAATGAAGGACAGGAATGTAAAAACAGCCCATATTAAAGCAGGAAGGGGAGGGTAAAGGAGGATGAATATGGTTGAGGTACTTTCTATACATGTATGAATACAGAACATTGAGGTCACTTTAAGAAGGGGAGTGAGGGAAGGGGGAGAATAGTGGAGGGGACTAAACCAGGGTACTATATATGTATATATGGAAACGTCACAATGGAAACTCCCTGTGTAACTATCATACACTAATAAAAACATTAAAAAAAGTGAGTCTAACAGGCCACCATAAAAAATTGAGATTAAATGGACTTCTGATTAACTTTTAGGTTCTAAGTATCAGTATTTCCATTTAATCATCAGCCTGAAATTACGTAAGTGTTCACTCTTCTGAGTGGGGTCTATACTAGATGTTAACTCAGGGTTCACAAACTCTCTAAAACTTTCATAAGATCCTCACAGGGATCTAGCACCACCCCCACACTCCTACAGAAAAGCAACCAACAAATGACTAAGACTCATTGCTGGGGGGGGGGGAATAACAAAAGGACACAGTATTAAGGGAAATCAATCAAAGGCAACTAAGTTATTTTAGTGAGTCCAGTTTGCATGGAAGAGCTGGCAAGTAAGGAGTAGCTGAAGTGGTAGTGATAAAGTCTAGGACAGCTAGCTAGCTGCTGTGCTAGTGAAATCTTACACATACTGCTTCCACAAAATAACAACAAAAAAGCATACAAGCAAACCCCCTAAAACAAAAACCAAGAAGGAAACAGCCTTTCAGTGACCTAATCATCTTTGATACCTGCCTCTCTGTCACTATCCGCTCATCTCGTAAGTTGTGCAGCTCACCAGCCATCCCCCAACTTGAGGTCCATACCACAAACCATGAACTTCTCTGGCATTTCCCTTAGCCATTTGACTTTAGGCTTCCACCTCTAATCAGTCTTATCTACCCACTATTTCTAGTTTAATTTGCAACAAGGATGATTCTAGTACTTCTTGTTCAAAAACCTCTGATGACACAATGCTAATGAGTCATTTAAAAAATTTTATTTTTTTGTGGTACTGGGGTTTGAACTCAAGGCCTCACTTTCTAAGCAGGTACTCTACCACTTGAGTCATGCCCTGACCTACTGCCTTTCAACCTGAATTTAAACTTCTCAAGCCTAGTTTCCTATCCAAATCTACACGTTCCTCCTAGAGTTTTTGCCTACATAGTTCTTATGGGTATCCTATGACCAAACAAATACAACTGAAATTCAGTCCACTGGTCAGATATAGCTCAATTGTTACCAACCTCTTCTAAAATTTCCCTGATTTCCCCATTAGGGAGGCAATCTGGTATGCTAAAAAGACAATGGGCTTTGGAATCAGACTACGTTTTGCTTTACACTAGGCCACTCTTCCATAGCCAGTACCTGGGAAGCAAGTGAAAATAATTTAACTTGCCTAAATTTCAGTTTATCTCATGTAAAGGTGACCTTTGCTCCCTTCGTAGGCCTATAAATGAGATGGCCTATAAAAAGCAAGAGATTTCCTTACTTCCATAAGTATATTTTGTACAATTCTTACAGGACTTAAGTTTCCCTAGAAGGAAGTCAATAGACAAGAACTAAGATTTTAAAATATTAAGAAATAGCAAGACAATCATGCTATTTAGATACACAAAGGTAAAGAGTGAAGAATTATAGTAACTGCACTTAGCTAAGGTGAGGATGGTAAGCACAGGAGACCACATCTCTGAAGTCTTTTAGATTGTTAAGATAGTAAGCTCAATTTTTAAAATTATATATTTGTTGCCAGGCATAGTGGCACACCCCTGTAATCACAGCACTTGGGAGGCTAAGGCAGGAGGTTCACTAGCCTGGGCTATAGCAAGACCTTGTCTTAAACAAAAAGTATAGGTTTATTTTGATAAAAATAAAATTGTATGAAGTGAATAAAGATGTATCAACCTAATAAAAAAATTAAATTAGGCATTGAGTTTGGACTCAGTAGCAGATTATGTGTTTAGTATACATGAGGTCCTGGGTTCAAGCCTCAGTATACACACACATATATACACACAAAGAAATGTAAAAACTAAAATAACATTTGGTATTATCTGGATATTTGCTTTTAAACTAGCAAATACTTATACACAAAGAGAACTATCTTGACTCTTAATTACAATATAATGTTGATCTCCCAAAAAGGTGAGATTCTCACTAGAATATTTTCTAAATTGACCTGAGACTTTGGCTTTGTGTGTGTCTTCTGATAGTTTAATATACTTATTTAACAGGCCAGATTATTTAAACAAAATTTGTAATTTTGAGTGTTTTATTGCTTAGTCTAAGATAAAAAAACAAAATGAATGAAAATGCAAAGTACAGTTAAGATCCTTCCTCCTGCCTTCCCCACCACCCCCAAGGCTGGGAATTAAACCCAGGGCTTCAAGCATTCTAGGCAAACACTAGCATTGAGCTGCAATCACAGCAAATCTTACCTCTTTTTAATGTCAAATAAACAGCTGTGAACTACATGATCCAACAATCCCACTTGTGGGTACATATCTAAAAGGACTGAAAGCAGGGTCATGAACAGGTATTTGAACATCCACGTTCATGGCTGCATTATTCACAGTAGCTAAGAAGTGGAAGAAACCCAAGCATCACTTGATGGTGGAACAGACATGGGAGGATCTCAAGACCAGCCCATGCATTTAAAAAAAATAAAAGCTTAATAGAATTGTAATTCTCAAGATGGTATTTTATAAATATATGATTTAAATATGAATCTGTTTTATTTCCATCCCACTTTATTTAGATAGTATATTTTCCACTTTATTCTAAATAGTATAACTATTTTAATCTGATTATTTAATCCACTATTACATAAACAATAATTGGGAGTTTTGTGTATGTAATCTTGCAGTGGGGCTATTTTAAACTCCAAAGCCTTTGTCTTTATGCCAGGAAATGTATTTACTGTAATTGTAGACCAACGTGAAAATAAAATCTCTTTCAAAGTAAAAAAAAAAATGTTAGCAAGACCCTAACTTAAAAAAAAAAAACTGATCATGGTTGTTCACTTCTGTAATTCCAGGTTCTTGGGTGGAGATAGGAGGATTGGGGTCTGAGGCCAGCCCCAGGCAATAGCACAAGCCCCTATCTGAAAAATAACTAAAGCAAAAATGGCTTTAGTTTAAGTGGCAGAACACTTGCCTAGTAAGCAGAAGGCCATGAGTGCCATCCCCAGTACTACCATTCCCTACCTCCCTCCAAAAAACAAAACAAAAAACAGCAAAAACAAAAACCACAAAGTATCATTCAGAAGAACACTCTGAAATATGCTACATGAGTAAACTTGAAAATAAGATAAATGTGATAATCCAGTCACAAAAGGACAAATAATATATTATTTCCCTTATATGAGGTACCTAGATTAGTCAAATTCAGAGACAGAAAGTATAAGATTGCCAAGAGTTGGAGGTGGGGTAGGGGAAGGAAAAAACGGGGAACTGTTGTTTCATGAGCACAAAATATCAGTTTTGCAAGATGAAAAAGTTTTAGAGATCCATTGCACAACAATGTGAACTTTCTTTACACTATTGCATCACGTAACTAAAAATGGTTAAGATGATAAAATTTATGCTATATTCTGCCACAATTAGAAACCAAAAACAGCTATGGGTAGTGGTCCATGCCTGTAATCTCAGCACTCGGTAGGTGGCAGAAGGACTGCAAGTTTGAGGCCAGCCTGGATCACAGTGAGACCCTGTCTCAAAATGAGCAAACAAAAACACCTCCCAGAAATACCACAGAAAAGCCCCCCCCAATACCAATGATCCCCACAAATACTGTAAGTTATACTGCAATATATATACATATTTATTTCCTTTGAAAACTATGGGAAAAAAAAGCATACTTCAGCTCTCCATTTAGTAGTACCTACCTGTACATTTATACAACATGCCTGTCATGGTTCCAGCTGCTATTGTGTTGAGGTCATCTTCTGCTCCTCGTGTTTTTTCAATAATAACACCAAATGCACTATAGAGTAAAGCTAAAAGGGTATAGTATTAATAATAAAAGTATGATTCCAAGTCAGTATGGCAATTATATTGAGGCAAACTTATCCAAAGATATATACACAAAAGTAACAGAGAAAAAAAAAAAACAGGCTGGTGGAGTGGCTTAAGTGGTAGAGCACCTGACTAGCAAACATGAGGCCCTGAGTTCAAACCCCAGGACCACCAAAAAAACAAAACCCCCAACACAAAGACATATACAGGACAATCACCGGAACACTTTCTAAAACAGCAAAAACCGTGCAGCAAATAAACATGCAACAAGAGCATTTGCACCATCTGGATTAATCCAGAAAGGGACTTTCCATAAAATGGAATACTAAAGTCACTTAAAACAAAAACCAAAAAGGGCTATATTCACTAAAACTTTAGTAAAGCAAGTTTATATGCACAGTAGTACATAACTCTGGATATGCAAAGAAGTGTCTGCAAAGATTTAGAAGAAATGTCAAGAACAGCCATTCCTACGAAGTACTACTAGAATCTTTTAAATTTTCACTTATGTTATTCATAATAGCTGCTTTTTGAATGCCTATGTTTGTATTGTAAGAAAAAATGTAACTACAAAGAATGATTCTCATACATGCAAAAATATAACATAAGCACCATTTAGTTTTTAAAGGTCTTTACCCAAGTAACCCTTGACTCTGCTTTACAGGATTTCTATCAGGTATGAATACATTAAAACATTTTGTTACCTTTTCTCAAAATTGTATGCATACTTGACCCTCTAACATTATACCAAGTTCAGCCTTATAATTCCTCTGTTATCATTCTATGAGGGCTCATTTTCCTGTCCAACTTATTATACATGAGCAGAACACTGTAACTGATCACATTACACTGGAAACACAGAGTAACAGGCAGGGTGACCGGCTATCCCAGGTTTCCAAGACTATGGGACTTGCAGTGCCCAAACTAAGAAGATAACAAGCAGGCAAGGACTACTGACTACTCTAGGTATACAAGCAAATTAAAAAGGAACAGAAGAGAGTAAGTATGTGTGTATGGGGGTGTGAGGGGGAGTGGGGGTGTGGTGGGATGCAGCCATGGACAGCATATGGAAACAGCCAGTTATCAGAATCCAAAATGCAAATCTGGCTTTATGGTATGAAAATGCACTTCCACTAAAATCCATGACAAGGCTAGGATCTTATTATGTCATAACAGAGGATCTTCTCTCTTTTCAAAGAATTTTCTACATTTTCCCCTTATTAAATGTTATGAGTAAGAAGATTTTCAAATATTCAGTCAAGTCTGTAAATCCTGAAAACCTTGGATGTTAGGGTATACGTGCCACAAGCAGACCTATTATATAAGTCATCAATAATCAAAAGAACTGCCTATTCCTAAGTAGTACGTGATGAAAACACAGGACTCTGGATAAGCATTACTAAATTACCCACTGCCTAGAACTGTAAATGCTTTCCTTATCTACAAAGGACCTGCTGCAACTATGGCAATTAGGTCCTTAAAATCTACAGAGGTGAACTGATTGCTGAACAGACTATTAGAAAAACAGCACAACATCTACACTAATCTGTCACATCTCACTACAGGACCTTGAACCTTTCCTAACATACATAGCCCTTTGCTCTGGAACTAAATTAACTAGATTTAGTTAAAGCATGATTTTATTTGATGTTCTACTTGGTCAGAAAGCAGTATTTAAAAAATTTAAAGCATTTAGAATGATATTCAGATAGAAGTGGCACCCAAGATTATTTCATTATGTAGTACACGGTCTTTCTCCTAAATGATACATACACTACTCTCCTGAGTGGATTTAAGCACAATTGTTTTATATTCTATAACCAAAATTTTGGTGACCAAAATGTTCATGATACTTGCAAGATCTCTACTTACCCAGAGAACCTAAAGTATTAGCCCAAAGTGCTCCTTGCCTAGTCACCATATTCAAAATCCTACCAAGGAAGAGAAAGAATTTTAGAATCATATAATCATGAATTTAGTATTCTAAAAAACCGTAATAGTAACTATTTAAAGTGAATAGACTCAAACCCCAAAGTTTTCTTAATTTTAAGATACATCTTAATACCTCCTCAAATTTTAATAGCTTTCACACTGTAAAAATTTTCAACACTCTGCAATGATCGAGGAAAATCCTTTATTAAATATATAGTTATTAAATACTTACACAAAGACTTTGAATAACAGCCTAGAATGTATTTTATAAAGAAACTGATCCATATAAAATGTCATTGTAACTGTAAAAAACTAGCTTAATTTTCTTTTTTGGAGGAGGTGCACTTAGAATATTAAATTGAATCAAAGTAAAGAATACTGAAGTATGCACTGCCAAGCAGAATTGAAGAGAAGGAAATAGCCATGTAATTAGAACACATGGAGGAAGCACTGTGTCTGCTTCCAGACTAGAACTAAGCAGCCAAAGCAAATGCTCAGCACACTCTCAAGGAAGCATAGTTCTGTCTTGCCCAGCCCCATAGGCCACCAGAACAGTGACACAGGCAACTGGATGAAGACTAGACATTACTCTCCCAGCAATGTAACACCATCACAGGAATGGTTCTGTCCGGACAGCTGACTACTGCTGGAAATGATGTAAGTGCAATTACAAAGAATAAAATAACTCATTTAATTAATAAAGGATTCAAGGCTTTACAGTAATAAATGTTTAAAGCAATCGTCATGTTAGCTGGACATGGTGGTGTGTGCCTGTAATTCAAGCACACAAGAGGCTGAGTCAGGAGGATGGAGAGTGCTAGGTCAGCCTGGGCTACAGATTGAGACCCTGTAGCAAAAAGAAAAAGAATTAGTAATGCTTTCAAAGAGAAGTGTATTTTCCTGATTAATTATTTACTAATATATTTTGAGTTTAGAACACTCTTTTTTTCTTCTGTAACAAGCTTTAATATAATACTATTATTTTTCACTGTTGTACTGCTGGTAGCACTGAAAATTAGTAAAATTCTTAGGCATGCCATTTGGCAACCTACCTCACTTAAGCTCTTACCTACTTCTCACTTTAAATTCTCTCTCAAACCTTCTCCATGGCAGAAAATAGATAATGTTTGTTCAACATCACAAAACACCAAGCAATGAAACTAGGACTTTGAAGCTGCATCTTCCTGACTCTACATTCTATCTTTTCCCCATCATTAAACGATGCCTCTCTACATAGGAATATCAGAATGATTATAACTATTATTGTTTTAAGGAAAGAAACATGCTATCTTCTCTAAGAGACTTTCTGCTTCCAAATTTATGTTTAATAGAATGTTGGGGATTTGTTTTAAATATAGTAGAGAAGGAGATGGCAAACAAATGGTCATGGCTGATAGTTACGAGCATGAGTTATGGTTCACAAGTGTTCATCACACCACCTTGTCTACTATTGTACAGATTCAAAATTCCTCATAAAACAAGTGAAACAATCAATGGAACAAGAGACAAATATTAAGAGTATAAACAGAAAAATACTGACTGATCTGGGTTGGTAATGCAAGTACACACAGTAACAGGAATTTGGACTACTTGACAGCCTTCAAGTTTCCCAAGGTGTAATTCTAGCACATCTGCTGCCATCTGCTGGCTGAATGATGTGTGGAACATGGCATTTAAAGTGTCCTAAAACAAAATCATACTGCACCATCAAAGGATACCCACATGCGATTCCACTTACATAAAGTATAAAAATGTGCAAAACTGACCAACATATTATTTAGGTAGTATCAACAGGAACTGGTAATGTTTATTTTTAAGCAGGGTGAAGACATTATATACCCGTTCTGACTCAGTTGTACTGTCTCTTCTCTGCAAAGTTTGACTTCCTGAGAAAGGACAGTCATGTCCTTTTAAAACTATGCCTAAGTTTTAGGAATTTCATATAAAGCTTCTGTGACTCCCCATTTCAGAACTGGAGAGTGAATCAATAAGAAGTTCAGGTAAAAATAGCAAACCTAGCCATCACTGCAATTCATTACCAAGTCCTCTGGCTCAGTGGGCCCCTGAAGAATCCGAATTCCTTCTTAGCAACTCAACAATTTGAAAAGCTGGTCATACACTCCTGGAGAATGGAACCTAGTTTGGTATAGCACCAGCAAACTAAGGGACACTAACTCAAAAATCATACCTTTTCGGAGCTTAGTAATCTGATTTCTTGGTTCTTTCTATTCTGAGTAAGACAAAACAAAGAATAACAATAAAAACAGAGAGAGTAAAAAAAGGAGAGTATATCAATTCTGTAAACATTTGCAGTCTCAGTGTTGTATCTATCAAACAAAACAGAGATTAATACTCAAGTATCACTCCATCAGATGATTACACAGACTTACTGCACATTTCTTGGTTTGGACCAGGCCATGTTCTGGGTTTCCTTCAATCCTAGCCGAAGACCATTCACTGCCCCAAATGCAGCCCCTGGTGAATCATAACAATTCATCCACATAATACAGTTTTATCTTTAAAAAATTGTACTTCCAATTCATTTTCATTTTATCTAATAAAAGAAGACAACAGCTATAGTTTTTTTTTTTAAAGACCATGAAACCAATATTCTAACTGCTTTTCATTTAAAAATTTTTTTTATCATAATATTGTTGTACTGGGGGTACATTGTGAGTTACAAAAGTTCTTACACCATATCAGAGCTAAACTCACCCCTCCATCATTCTCGTTTTTCCCACCTTCACTCATTCCTTAAATAGTTTCAAGAGGTCTTAATTTCCATTTACATACATGAGTATATATTTCCACCATGTTCAACCTCTTATACACTTCCCCTATAGCCTCCTCTCACTCCCACTGTACCAATTCCCAGACAACACCTGTTTTACCTTCCTGGTCTCCGTTTCTGAAAAAAGTCATTTTTGTTTCTTTAAAATAGCTATACAGGAGTTTCATTGTGTTATTTCCACGTATATGTGTATTACAACCCGAATTGGTTCATCCCCTCTATTTTTCTCCTACCTTACTCTCCTTCTTACAGGGATTTCAGTAGGTGTAAAAGTTCTATATTTTTGTATAGAAACTACATCAACCATATTCACCTTCTTAACTTCTTTCTTTTACCCTTCCTCTCCTGTCAGTGACCTCCCCTTGGCGTGACCTGTTTTTCACAACATTGCTTGCACTTGTTTTTGGCCTGTATTCCACGAGAAAACATGTGGCCTTTGGCTTTCTGAACCTGGCTAACTTCTCTTATGATGATGTTCTTCAGTTTCACCCATTTGCCGGCAAATGACAAAATTTCATTCTTCTTTATGGCTGAATAAAATTCCACTGTATGTAAATACCACATTTTCTTAATGCATTCATTAGTAGCGGGGCATCCTGGCTGTTTTCATAGCTTAGTTATTGTGAATAATGGTGCAATAAACATGGTTGTGCAAGTATCTTTATGGTAACCTGACTTATATTCCTTTGGCATATCCCTAGAAGTGGTATTACTGGATCATATGGCAGTTCCACTTAGTTTTGTGAAGAGCCTCCTTGCTGTTTTCCATAGTGATTGTACTAATTTACATTCCCACCAACAGCATATGAGGGTTCCCTTTTTCCCACATTCTTGCCAACATTTGTTTGTGGAGTTTAGTTTTTTGAGCTCCCTGTACATTCTGGTTATTATTACTTTGTCAGATGTATAGCAGGCAAAGGTTTTTCTCCTTTCTGTGCGCTGACTCTTCAATCTGGTGATCATTTCTTTTGTTGTGCGTAAGTATTTTAGTTTCATGTAGTCCCCTTTGTCAATCCTTTGCTGAGCCACTGCAGTTCTATTTAGGAAGTTATTGTGTATGCCTAGAAGTTCTAGTGTATTCCCTGCTCTTTCCTGCACTAGCTTCAAAGTTTTGGGTCTTTTTGAAGGCCCTTAATACATTTTGAGTTGTTATTTGTACAGGGTGAAAGACATGGATCTAGTTTCAGTTTTCTGCATGCAGGTATTTAGTTTTCCCAGCAACATTTGTTGAAGAGGCTGTCTTTTCTCCATCATATGTTTTGGGCACCTTTGTCAGAAATCATGTGCGTGTTGTGTTTCATTTTTAACATCATCAATTACTTGATTAAGGAAACTTAAAAAAATCATTATACCCACCTGTCATGCAACATCCTCCAATGGTAAAGAAGGCTAGTTCAAATCTGCCACGGGTTTTATTAGCTCCAGTAGGTAAAATAAACTCATCTGTATCCTAAAAGGGTAATAATGAAAACAAAGCTGAGTGTACCTCACAATATAGTACTTACAAGGTGTTCTTAAACTTTTCTTTTCTTTTTTTTTTTTGAGACAGGAACCTGCTATGTAACAGGTTTTAAAAAATAAACCATTGAAGAAAATTAAATGGTTTCTAGGGTTTGTGGTGAAAAAAAGGTGACTGGAGTGCCTGTAGAAACACGTCATAGTTTCAGTCAGCATTAAGTACTTGAACTTTTCTAAGAAAAAGGGACCAAAGCAGTAAAATCTTAATCTTACCTGTACAAGATATCGTGGATCCACATTTAAATAAGGAGACAGCGGGTTCATACCTGTTACTAAAGAGAAAACAAAATGTTATATTGCAACAAAATTCTTAAGTTATTTCATAGACTGAATTCAGCTCTTGATTGTTGCATGTGTTCTTCAATTTTGATACAGACTTACTAAACATGAAAAATTTTTGTACTATGTCCTTTCTGTCAGTTTAGAGGCTGTCTGGTCATGGGGACCTTCAATCTCAAGCTAACTCTTACACTGGGCTCTCAGAAGATATTGGCAGTAACATATTTCAAATTATCAAACTATCAGGAGAGATGGCCTAGGCCATTTACAAAGCTTGTTTCTCTCACTCTACTACAAGACTGCATGACAATTAAGCAAACTGAAAGATGACTCAATCCCTTGGAAAAAAGAAGCTGAGTATGGTTTCTGACTGTGTAAGAATATTTCAATGCAGTTTCTTCAGATTTTCCTGATGACAGTTGTTGACACAGATTTACTATAGCAAGGTAGAGAATTCTAGGTTCTACCATGGGGGGGGTTAGTGGAAAAGAAAATGCAAACTTTCAGAGGGCTAGACTTGAAACCCACCAACTTTGAAAACAGAAAAAAAATAAAATAAAAATTTCCCATATTTTAATCTTTGGATCTTTTTGTATTTACTTTCACAAATGTATGTGCTGCCCATGACTCTGATCTTTCCATCATTTGAAAGTCATGTCAGTTCTATTTTCAATTTTTCACCTATCATCATGCTGGAATCCTAATCCAATCATCAAATTACACAGCAACAATCTCCTACCTAACTTATGTTTTTTGCCCTTTCAATTCACTAAGCAACTAAAATCATTTTTAAGAAATCAGCCCTAATGGCTTTCCTCTACACTTGTAATCACACCCTTACCCTTGCTTACAAAAGCTTGTGTTAGGTGCCATTTCTTTTCTCATTATCTTCTATAAGTCTAAGCCCCTTGGTAGTTTAAAGACACACTGATCTAACAGCTGTTCCTCAAACATGGCAAGTTCCTCCCGTCCCCAGGACATTTGCACATTTTCCTGGACACTTGCCTCTCAAGCATTTATATTGTATCCAGGTCAGAGTTCAAATGTCAACTTTTGCTTTCTATGACCCACTCTAAAATGGCTTCTCCTCAAATCACCGTCTCATTATTCTATTTTATTTCTTTTACATCATTTATCACTAGCTGCAATGTTTTTGATATTTGGCTTGCCTTGGTAGTATGTATGTTCCATGAAAGCAAGAATTACTTTTCTTTTTTAACCACTGCAGTGCTGCACCTAAAAAAGTAGTTGACACACTGTAGGTGCTCTATGAATGGCATTTCTCTTCACTGCCTCTCAATTTACCTTCAAGTTTTAATCAAATTAATGTAACAACACTTTGGGATGTTAGGGTAGTGCACTTTGTATTATGAAACTAGGAATCCTAAAATATACACAAATGTTCTAGACTCAGTTTTGATAAGGTGGACATGAGGGACATGAAAGGGCTTTCTTTGTGTATAAAGGGCCTGGAAAAATGTTTACAAGAATTTAAAAAAAAGAAGTTTTGCAAAGACCGTATCCACCATCAACTTCCTACCATCTTTGTAAGTCCGTGTTCTATTCATCCAGTTGAATATCCTTATTTGTCACATCCCAAAAGCCTGCAATACATATTCACAGGCTTGAGAAGCTCATATAGGGTTTTCATGCCTCTGCATCTTCAATCCTGCTTGTTTCCCCTTCTGTAATTCTTACCTGGCTTCCCTCATGTTTGGTTCAGCTCATTCCTCAGTTCTTCCAAATAATTTCCTGTTTTTTTCCAGGTAATGTTATTTTTTGTTTATATGCATTATTACTGATGTTTGCTCTATTAGCTACTTTAGAATTTATTGAATATGCGATCTTTTTAGGTAACTATAGGCTTGCTATTTGGAGTATGTTTAATTCCAGAGCCAAGTCCACAGCCAGGGCCAAGCACACATCCTAGTACCCAGGAAAGTGTGTGAAGAAAAAAAAGGAAGAAGGCCCGGGTACAAACGGAAGAAAACGTGTATCATCTCCTCTGAGTCCAGGTCAATCAGAGACAGCTTCCTGAGGATCTAGGGCCCCAAAGTTAACCCCGTCATTGTCGGTGAAGCTTGTGAATGACAGTAGGAAAAAGAACTGGGGACACCACATATATGGTGTAGTCGCAGGAACCAGTCAGAAAGGTTCGTATGGTAGGCCCTATACTTACACGGGACGCCGGCCAAATCTGCGTGCGAGTAACCGGCTCCGCCAGCTCCGAAGAAGCCGGCCAGCCCCCCTGTGGTTTTGTTGCCACTTCCTCCGCCACCCTCCATGGTGTCACAGCAAACTGTCGACTGCTGGAAGCCTCCGCCTTAGGCCGGGGTCTTGTATTTGGCCGTTACTCCACAGTAACAGCGGGAAAACCCGCTGCCTGCCTCCTTCACACGCTGACCTTCCGGGCGCAAGTTGCCGTTAAGTGCTTCACTTCCGCTTTGCGGCTGTGTACGCTCCGGAAGTCAGCAGCACCTGACGGTAGCTTTCCGGTGGTGGGAAAGTGAGCGAAGCCAGGGTCGAAGCGGCGCGTCCTGAGGCAGGTGGGCTACCTGCGGAAGAAGGAAGGCAAACGACTGCATAGGGAGCGCTTGACTCGGAGACCAAAGGATCAGCAGTCACAGAAGCAGGCAGCGGCAGAGAAGGAATGGTGCGGGGAGGCGCCAAGAAGGAGGCGCAGTCCGTCCCTGTCAGGGTTAGTGAATGAGGCTCTTCGCCCGGGCCGGCCTGGGGACTGTGTGCTGCGGGTCCCAGCATGAGTGCGGGCCCCGGCTGTGAGCCCTGCACCAAGCGACCCCGCTGGGGCGCTGCTGGAACTTCTCCGCCGGTTGCCTCGGACTCCCGGAGCTTCCCCGGCAGGCAGAGGCGCGTCCTCGACCCCAAGGACGCTCCCGTACAGTTCAGGGTCCCACCGTCCTCGCCAGGCTCCGTCCCGGGGCGGGCGGGACCGCACAGAGGCAGCGCCACCTCGCTTGGTACGTGGGGAAATAAAAATCTTTTGTCCTGCACCTCGGCCCAAACCTCTTCCTGGTTTCAGCCAGGACCCAGAGCTCCAGACGCTCCTATCTAGTCTTACGTGCACCGTTCTGAGTTCCCCCTGCTGAACCACCAACGCCATTAGTTGGGGTGTGGGACCAAATTTTTCCCCGTGCGATTGGTGGCGTGAGAAATCGTGAAGGACAGTTAGTTACTCACAGGGAGAAAAATGGCAGGAGACTCCACTTGTTTGCTTTCCTCGAGTGTGACGGAGAAATTGCCTTATTTAAAAAGATGTAACTGCGAAGCATTAGGGCGCTTGGGTCTGTAGATATTGCTGTTACAACTTTATTCAGATTCTGGCTCCCAGAACTATTATTATACTTGTTCCTGGCATGCAGTGTTGAACGTGAAGAACATGACTTCTGCCTTCACATCCTGAAATGTATCCAGAGAGATAGACAATAGCACACGTCAACACGTATAACAAAAGGTGATGGATGTTCTGATAGGTGAGGCTCAGATTGTTCTAGTAGGAGTCAGGTGTACCACACCTAGTTTATGGGATCAAAGGTAGTCCTCTGGAAGTAGGAATGCTTATTGTGAGGACTGAAGACTTTATATGAGTACCTAGGTGAAGAGGAAATAAGACATTTTAGAAATGCAGCTGGTGTTGCGGAGTAAATGGTAGGATAGTGAGAGATGGGGTTGTAGAGAGATAGCGCTAAGGACTTTGAATCTTGTCTCTTAAGGGCAATGAGAAGGGTTTTTTCAGTATGTGTGTGTGGGTGGGGAGGAGTGGTTAGGTGCCTTAATTAGATTTGTTTGTTGAAAAGTCCCTATGGTTGGTGTGTGGCAAATGAAAAGTTGGTTGAAAGTACAGCTGGAAGCCCAAGAGTAGTTAAGGAGTTAGTTGAGGCGGGAGATAACTTTACAGGCAGTAGGGAAGGGGGAGAAGTGCATGGATCCAGGAGAGAATGGGATACTTTCTATGCTGGAGAATTTGAGGGATTCTTGGCATGAATATGATAATAGAAGCTATGGTCCTAGCATAGATTACTTAAATATATAAAGAAAGTAAAGATGATCAAGGATAGAAGCTTTTGGAACAACAATATTTAATAGCCAGAGTTGGGAGGAGGAAAGCCTAGCTGTGTTTTGTTTTGCAGAGAAGAGAACATTTCAAAAAATGCATTGCTCAACAGTGTAAGAAGGTGGGCAGAGATCAGGCTGTCTTCTGGTAAATGGGATACACTTACCTACATGTTTTAGGACCTAGAGGCAATGGAAAGCAGACTTGAGTTAAGTCTTGAAGTATGACCAGGGTTTACTGTGTAAATGAAGGGAAGAGATAATTATATAGGAAGAAGGAACAGCACACCCAAACGTTGGTAGGACTGGAGCATAGGAAGACAGAGACTTTTTTCAGGTGAGCTTAACATGGACAAACTCTAGTACCATTTTAAGTCATTTGACCTTTTTTTGTGGTTCATGGGAGGCCATGAGAAAACTTATTTTGGCAGTACTGGAGCTTAAACTCAGGTCCTTGTGCTTGCTGGGCAGGCACTTTACCACTTGCATCATGCTGCTAGTCCTTTTTACCTTTAGTTATTTTTCAAATAGGGCCTTGCTTTTATATCCAGGCTGACCCGGACTGTGATCCTCCTATTTATGCTCCCCGTGTAGCTGGGATGACAGGTGTGTACCACCATGCCCGGCTTTAATTGTTTAAGGTGAGGTCTTGTTTGCCTAGGTTGGCCTGTTCTGAACCACCATCCTCCTGATCTCTGCCTCATGAGTAGGTAGGATTATAGGCATACGCCACTTGAGGAAACTTAAGTAGGAAATGGCATTTGGTTAATATTTTAGAAAAGATGGCGTAAGCAGTAGCTTTGAGTAGCAGTAGCTTTTTAATGTATGACACATCGTGTTAATTTTATCTGGTACACAATATATGGAATTGGTACGTACATCATAGTTATAACTAAAATAAATCACAAAATAACATTTTTCTATATACAATGTATTCTTTTTATGGTGGGGTGGGAAGCAGTACTGGGGTTTGAACTCTGGGCCTCATACTTACTAGGCAGGCACTCTTATCACTTGAGCCATTATGCCAGCCCTGCATTCTTATATTGTTTGTATTTGTTCATTGAAAAAATGCTAATCATTTTTAGTTTGTAAAACTGGATTAGAGAAAGTCAAGGCTGTAAACAGGGAGACTAGTCTCAGGAAACAACATCTGTCCAAAAAGTAATGTATTTAAGGGATATAAGGAAGGAATGTTTTTAAATCTTAGGCTATGGATTTCAGAGAACTCAATATAGAGGAGGGAGAACTGAAAGTGAACTACAGAAGTCAGCTGGGTAATTTGTGGTCCCATTAACTTTATTTGCATGGGAAGGAGGAGTTAGTTGCTGGTAATGGCTGGGGAAGTCACTCTTCACTGGCTGGATCTTGAGTTTTTTGCAGAAGAGGAACCAAATTAATCCTTCATATGATGTTTTCTGTATACCTGGCACAGGACACCACTAATAGAATGTTCAAAGTCAAATTTATATCATAAGCTATTTTTTCAGGTATTGGAATTCTTTCAGGAACATGGTATTTAAAAATTTTTATGTATACTTATCCTAGATAAGTAGAGAAATGGGTATTCAGTATCTTTAAATTTTCCTGGATATATTTCTTTTTTTTTTTTTTTTTCATTTTTCTTTTATTATTCATATGTGCATACAAGGATTGGTTCATTTCTCCCCACTGCCCCCACCCCCTGATATATTTCTTATATTGATTGAAATATATAAGTCTGTACATAGACAAAACTCAGTATGCTATTCACATTCTGATGGGGAATGATTTACCCAGTTATGTTGCAAAGAAGACAGTGGTGTTCCTTGGAAATGCAGGTGAATTTTACTACATTTTATGCCTTTTGCCTGTATAGATAGTTGCTAATTGGATTACCTCATTGAAATACCTGGTTTCTGTGTGATGGTACTGGTGAGAGTTAAATGTGAATGGTATAAAGTCAGAATAAAGTTGGAGAATTACCAATCTCAATTAAAAAAAAGAGATTTTTTTCTCTTTCTTTTTTTAAAATTCATTTATTCATATATGCATACATTGTTTGGACCATTTCTCCCCCCTGCTGAAATGTATTTTGCTTATGCCATTATTGCAGTGATAAATAAGCTGTTAGTTTCATTACTTGAGCCTGCATCTATTTAGTTCATATTATGGTGTTTGAGGAGGTAGAGTAAAATAAAATTTATGATTTAGATGCCAAAATTTTTTCTCTCTTACTCTTTATTTTTTTTTTTTTTGTGAAACTGGGATTGGAGCTCAGGGTTTTGTGCTTGCAAAGCAAGTAATTTCTTGCTTGAGCCACAAACCTCCAGCTCATTTTTGCTTTGGTTATTTTGGATATGGGGTCTCGGAAATATTTGCTTGGGCTAGCCTCAAACTGCAACCCTCCTGAACTCAGCCTCCCAAGTAGCTAGGATAATAGGACTGAGCCACTGGTGCCTGGCCCAGGATTCTTATATTGCAGTTAAAGAGTGGTTGAGAATGTTTAAGATTTTATACTGTGTAATGTTTAAGGTTTTTAAATATTGTATGAGCACACTTATTTCTAATGGTTATATAAAATTCAACTTGCTTTTATTTGCATTGTATCTGCTACTTCTGAGCTCACCAGTTCTATTTTTGCTATTGCTTGCTGGTCATTTCTATCTGTTTATCTCTTTGGCATCTCCTATATTCCACATTTCTATGATCTCTTAAGCTTAAAGCATAGTGTCACCTTTAACTTACCCTATCATTGTGAACTCTGTAATGACTCTTCAACTTACTGTTCTCATAATGACTTATTTTTGAAACTTGGCCAGTAATTCTTCAATTTAGTTGATTATTAAAATTACTTGTTGAAAAAAATACAGATCCCAGGTATTCTGATTCCTCTGTCATACTCACATACAGATTCTAATTCAGTAAGTCTGGAATATGGTCCTGAGATCCATTTGTTGCTAACCTGATGATCCAGATGGTTTTAGAACTACTGACCAGTAGCTTTCTCACTGGTTTTTGTCAGTAGGCTCTGCCTTCTTGCCTACTCCACACTATCTATCATGTGAGCCTCCTAGATTTGGATTCTAGAGTCATAGCTTTGAGTGTGACTTTTGACACTCTTTTTGCATCTCTCTTTTTGGGTCATTCAAAGTCTTCTATGACATAGCTGACCTTTCAATTCTATTTTCTGTTTTTTTTTTGTAAACTCTATATTGCTCTGCCGCCTTTAATTAGGATTTTTTTTTCCTTTCTGTGACTATGTGTTCATTCTTCAAGGCACAATTTTTTTTTTTTTTTGGCAGTACTGGTGTTTAAACTCAGGGCCTACACCATGAGCCATTCCACCAGCCAGTGATGGGTTTTTTCAAGATAGGGTCTTGTGAACTATTTGCCTGGACTGGCTTCTTGCTGATTATCCCCACTTACTGCTGTTTACTTAAGTGGTCTTTTTCCTGGAAATACCTTAGTTCCATATCAGGACTTAGAAGAAATAATAATTAAGAACTAATATTTATTGAACATACTCCAGATAGTACCCTAAACATTTTATATAATCCGAGCATCACTCTAACCATGAAAAATACTGTTAATTTGCATGTTTTGCAGAGCAAAGAAAAGTGTCACGTAGGAAGCCAGGTTTTGAATCCATGTATTCTGATTCCAGAACCTGTGATACTATATATTTGGCCATACCAAACCTTTTAGAGGCCACTCACTTTCTACTCTATGTTACACATATTAGTATTCTTGCTCCTGTCTTATCTCTGAACAAGGTATAAGGGCTAGGGTATAAGGAATAGTTAATCTTCATTTAACCCACAGAACCTAGCAAAATGCCTTATATATAATAGGTTGTACATGTTTCTGTTTAAAAGCATATATATGCATATACATTATTTATTTATTTGTTTTGTTTTACAGTTTTCAAACAAAAGACTATTACCACTTGGATGGACACTAAAGGACTCAAGACAACTGAATCAGAAAGGTATAGAGACATACCTATGTGGAGAAATGAATAACATAACATCAGACAGTTTTATCTTGCTATGTGGTATTTTCTCTTTTCTTTCTTTTGTATTTTTCTTCAACTACATTCATTCATTCTTCAAATACTTTATTTTAGAGTCTCCTATGTGCAGAGAACCTCTTTAATGTTTGAGATACAGAAATGCAAGAAATAGTCCCTAACTTTAAGATACTTATGTGTCGTGAGTATTGCAGACACAAAAACACATAATTACTGCCTCATGGGTAAATGCAACAGTGAAGGTATGAGCAAGTAAATGTATGAGTGGTAGCTAGCATATAGGAGAAACAAATGATCACTTTTACCTTTGAATCTTGAGGGAAGACTGGGTAAGGAATTGAATAAAGTTTAAGGTTTGAAGGAAAGGCAGTGTTTGCCAGGCATACAGCTGGGGAAGGATGTTATAGGCACTTGTACAAAGACACAGACTAATGAAAGCATGCTTTATGTTCAAGTAACTACAAGGAGTAATAATTATTGCTGTGACATTGTGGGGGGTGGTTGAATAAGTGCCTTTTTTTTTTTTAATCATAAGTTGGTTTTAATTCTTTCTCTTCTCTCATAGTTTGCACAGTAAAGAAAACAACAATACAAGAATAGAATCCATGATGAGTTCTGTACAAAAAGATAACTTTTATCAACATAATGTGGAAAATGTTTCTCAGTTAAGTGTTAATAAATCACCCATTCAAAAAAGTAAACAATATTTGAACCAGCATCAGACTCCGACTATGTATAAGTGGCAAAATGAAGGGAAACATAAGGAGCAGGTTTTGGAAAGTGAACCTCCAACAGTAACTCTGGTATCAGAGCAGTTTAGTAATGCTAACACCAATCAGTCACCCCAGACTGATGATCACAGTGACACAGATAGTGAAGAAAGTAGAGATAATCAACAGTTTTTGACAGTAAAGCTAGCAAATGCAAAGCAGACTACAGAAGATGAGCAGACCAGAGATGCCACAAGCCACCAGAAGTGCAGCAAGTCTTGCCATTCTGTGAAAGACTGTGCAGGCTGTCAGCAGGAGGAGATAGATGTGGTACCAGAGAGTCCATTGTCAGATGTTGGCTCTGAGGACATTGGAACTGGACCAAAAAATGACAACAAATTAAGTAGACAAGAAAGTAGTCTAGGAAATTCTCCTCCATTTGAGAAGGAAAGTGAACCTGAGTCACCAATGGATGTAGATAATTCTAAAAACAGTTGTCAAGACTCAGAAGCAGATGAAGAGACAAGTCCAGGTTTTGATGAGCAAGAAGATGGTTGTTTTTCCCAAACAGCAAATAAACCTTCAAGGTGCCAAGCAAGAGAAGCCAACATTGAACTTAAGAAACGATGTTCGACTAAGGGAGGTGAAATTAGGTTGCATTTTCAGTTTGAAGGTGGAGAGAATCACACTGGGATGAGTGATTCAAATGCTAAACTACCCGGAAATACCTCTACCCTTAATATAGAGTGTAGAAATTCCAAGCACCATGGAAAGAAGGATTCTAAAATCACAGATCATTTCATGAGAATGTCCAAAGCAGAGGATAGAAGGTAATTTTTTTTTCCCATCAGGAATGTCTCCAATAGCATAATATATTTTAAATTTTTATAAGGGGATTAAGAAAGTTATTTATAGTTAAGTAGAGAAATGGTTATGTTTTTTACTAAGTATTTAGGCTAAATTTAAGCCTAGAGCCTGAAGTTTAAACTCTAAAAAAGCCAGAAAGAGAATATTAAGAAGTAATACATTTTGGCAATCAGATTTTAAGTTTCATGAGCTTCTTTCTAGAATTTATGGGAATTATTAGAACATGAAAATACTAGACTGATGATAGTTACTAGTTAATCATTTTTCTAAGCCATTGCGTATTGCACTTTCTTTAATGCTGTGACAGGCAGGCAGGTGATAATGAACTCACTTTATAGTTGAGAAAACTGAGATTTGGTTGAAAATTTACTGAAATATTACAACTTTTGGTGGTATACTGGGGTTTAACTCCATTTGTATGTGATTACAAGCCTTGCATTTTTGCCATTATCCCATGCAGAATCTTAAAGCCCACTCCATAATTTCTAAGATCTCCTTTTTCTAACATGTGTTACTAAATGTACTTCATTGAAAATTACTGTATAAAGATCTAGGGAACAGCTGATACGAAGGTGATTTACATGTGATTGGAAATTCCTTCCACAGAATATTGAAAATAAGCTTTTGAGTTTTAATATAAGCTTTGTAAGTTTTTCTGTTAATTATAAAACAAACTGAAGTGGGAGCATGCTTGGCTGACCTTAAAATTTTGCACTTGTGTATCCAAAGGGAACTAAAGGAATAAATTGTGACTGAATATATGTGTCTTGACCATAGAAAAGAACAATGTGAAGTCAAACATCAAAGAACAGAAAGGAAGATCCCTAAATACGTCCCACCTCACCTTTCTCCAGATAAGAAGTGGCTTGGAACTCCTATTGATGAGATGAGAAAAATGCCTCAGTGTGGGATCCGGCTGCCTCTCTTGAGGCCATCTGCCAATCACACAGTAACTATTCGGGTGGGTATCGCCTCTTACCCAGTAGGAGAGAAGATAGGAAGTCCTGATTTATTGTGATATTTATTTATTTGTTTATGTATGTATGTATGTATGTATGTATGTTTGGTGGTACTGGGGTTTGAAGTCAGGGCTTCATGCTTGCCAGGCAGGTGCTCTACTGCTTGAGCCTCCAATTCTTATATGATATTTACTAATGTGAAAAACAGACCAAGGGCCTGGCGTCAGTGGCTTATGCCTGTAATCCTAGCTACTCAGGGGGCAAAGGTCAGGAGGATTGTAGTTCAAAGCCAGCCCAGGCAAATAGTTCAAAAGACCCTATCTTGAAAACATCCAACACAAAAAAGGGCTGGTGGAGTGGTTCAAGTGGGAGAACCTATCTAGCAAGTGTGGTGTCCTGAGTTCAAACTCCAGTACTGCCAAAACAAAACCAAAAACAGACTGAGGCATGGAAAGTTTTCTTTTCTTTGTGTGTATATGTATATACATATATACTTAGAAGTTGGCAGAATGGAGAAACAAATAATAGCATACTTAATATAGCAATCATCAAATCAGGATGAATCATCATCATCTGATGATGAAATTGAATTTTGAATTTTATTATTTCTAAGAAACTTCATTTAGTTTTTTTTCAAAATTCAGTTGACAGTATTTATTGACCATCCACTATATGTTAGGTATTAGGCTAGTCCTTAAAATCCAAAACTGTGTGTGCTTTAGTGCATTCACATCTCCATCACTATTTAAGGTATCTCAGCATGTCTAAAACCAGCCTCTCTTTAAGTTTACAGTGCCGTTAAGTACATTCACGGTGTTGTCCAACCCATTGCCAGAGCATTTTCATATTCCTCACCAGAAAGTCTGTATCAATCAATATCACATTATTTCTTACTTTCCCTATCTCCTGGTTAACTCCTTTTATGCTTCTGTGGGTTCTTTCTATTTAAAAAAAAAAAAAAACAAACTTTATTGAGGCATATGAAATTTTACTCTTTTAAGTGTCAGTTTTGTAGGAGTTAATTTAGGGAGCTATGTAGCCATTACTATAATCCTGTTTTAGAAACTTACCATCACTCATTGAATAGTTTTAAATATCTCACGTTTTAGTCAATTTCTGTAGCTTTCACAGGGACAATCAGAAAATCCAAGTCTCTCTTAGTCCTTTGTTTTTGGCAGTATTGGAGTGTGAACTCAGGGCCTCATGCTTGCTAGACAGGCGCTCTACCACTTGAGCATTCCTCCAGCCCCTGTCTTAGTCCTTTTCCCAGAGATTAACAATTTGTTTTATTTTCTTTTAGATTCTTTTCCTTAAATGTGGTAATGTGTACACACACACACACACACACACACACACACACACACACGCACGTATATAGTATGTATACATGTAAGTATATAAAATAGTTATTTGACACAGTGTTTAGTTATATTTCTAAGATGTCATATATTGATGTAGAATTTGATGTAATAAATAAAGCCTTAGAAATATAAGGCAGTCTGAAATTGCATAGGTATGATACTCAATCCTTGATTATCTATAAATTTGTACTTTTTGTGTATCTATTCATGCACACATATCCACACAAAGCATAGTCTCATATGTGTTTCTTTTTGTGTGAAGCTCAACTGTTTACTATTCTGTTTCCTCAGGTGATATGGGAAATCTTTATAAAATCACTTTTGAGACTTTTTTTTTTGTAGTACTGGAGTTTGAACTCAGGGCCTTGTACTTGGCACACTACCACTTGAACCACATCCCCAGCCCTTTTGGTTTTAGTTGTTTCATAGGGTCTCCTGTTTATGCCTAGGCTTGCCTGGACTGTGAAAGTACTTTCAGCAAAATTGATGATTCAGTCACATATGATTGTAGACCTTTTTTCTTTCTTAGAACATTCTCATCTTTTGGCTTCTATGATATCTTATATCTGAGTTTTCTTCCTACCTCCTTAGCCAGCTCACATGATCCTTTTAGTGTCTTCTCTATATGACCAATAAGTGTTGTTGAACATCCTCAGGTATCTTCATATGTCCTCTTTTCTTTTCTTCCTCTGAGTGGTCTTGTCCATTCTTAAGGCTTTAATGATCACCTACATAGATAGTTCACAGATTTGTTTCTCTTAAGTTGAAGAAGTATGTATGAAGCTGACCATTTGACAGTCTTCCTTTGTTTATAAGCTCTTCCTTTTTTAAGGAGCTGTGTTAGCTTTCTGTGATTGTGACAAAGTACATCCTTATAAGGGGGAAAGATTTATTTTGCCTCATGGTTTCAGAGATTTCAGCCTATAGTCTCTTTGCCTCATTGTTGTGGGCCTGTGGAGGCAAAAGAGTGTATGGTGAAGGAGGTCTATTCATCTCACAGAATCTAGGAAGCAAAAAAACAAGAAAGAGCCTGGGCCAGGGCTGGGGTCTTATCCCCTTCAAAAGGACCTGACTTTCTTTCACTAGTCCCCAGCTCTTAAAGGTTTTGTCTCTTCCCAAGTAGCACCATGGGTTGGGTACCAAGCCTTTAACACATGGCACTTTAGAGGATACTCCAGATCCTTTTGGGGGCCCCCAAAAAAGATGTCCATCTTACATTGCAAAATGCATTTAGTCCATCTTTAAGAGGCTCCATAATCTTAATAGTTCTAGGATTGCTCAAAAGCCTAAGTCCAACGTCTCTGAGATTCAGGACAAGCTCAGATGAGAACTTCCATAAAAATCAAAAGAACAAGTTACATACTTCAAAGATATTGGCACAGTGTATGCATTCCCATTCCAAAAGGGAGGAATAGGAACATAGCAAGGAAGGATTGAACTGAATCCAGACCCAAACCCAACAGGGCAAATACTAAATTCTATAGTTTTATATCCAGCATCCAGGAAACATAGCAGCATAATGTGAAGCTGCTATGGACTTGCTGGCTACAGCCCACATGGCCACTCTCTTAGGCTGGCTCTGCTAACTGCCTGTTGCTTCCTTTTGCAGGTGCTCATATTCCTGGCATCTCTAACTTCTTGGGTTCTCCTATGCAGCTTCACATTCACTCTCACAGCTTCACACATGACCCGTTAGTGGAAGCTTCATGACTCCTGTCATGCACTACCTGACCTCTGGAGCATTCCTTTGAAATCTCAGTAGAAGCCTCCATGATCCCATAACTTGCATTCTCCAAACCTTCAAAACCCATATCTTGTGGAAGATGTCATGATTTGCTGCTGGTGGGAACTGGGGTTCCCTTAAACTTTAGTGGCTTCTGAGTTACTTGGTGGGTTAACGTGGGGAAACAATCCTATAGATGGCCTTGCACAAGAAGGGTACCCAGGGTTCTGTAAAATCTTTTAAACAAATTAGCATTTTATACCTTTAAACATGCCAATTTCTGACACTCCCAAAAGACATCTTTCATATTATCCAGGTGCAAAGTACTTGGCTTCTTTTTAATGGCAGTAGTGTCTTCAGCTACCACACCTTCCTTTCTGCATCTTTACAGGTACTTCTTTTCTGACCAAACTGAAAGCTTTTCTAATCTTTCTGTTCACTATAAGTCTGGCTAAAAGCAACTAGCAATAGTCATCCCATAGTTTGAATGCTGTGCTGCCTTAAAATTTCCATCACATTTAAATTCAGCATTACAGAAAGTTTCAGGGCATGAGGACAAAACATAGATGAGTTATTCCTAGAATGTAACATGAACGGCCTTTAGTTCAGTTTCCCGTAGAATACATATTTCTGTCTGAAACCTCATTTGTGCTATATTTGTGGTCCTCATTCCTATTGATATTCTGGTTTTCTGAGTTCATACCAGACTTGCCATTAAGCTCTACTTAACAGCATTTTAAGCTTTCTCTAGCTTGCTTCTCCAAACACTTCTAGATTCCTCTTCAAACAAGTTCCAAAGCTGCTGAACCACATTATTAGGTATAATCACCTCAATGGCTCTTCTAAAATAATCTAAGAAAACCATCTTGCAAGGAGTAAAGATTTATTTGGGCTTATGGTATCAGAGGCTTCAGACCATGGTTGCTTTTCTCCATGTGCTTGTGGTGGTATGGTACATCATGGTAGGAGCACGTGGTTTGAGGAGGTTTGTTTACCTCAAGGCAGCCTGGAAGCAAAAGAAGAGAGAGGAAGGGACCAGGTTACTAATATCCTGTTCAAGGGCATGCTCCCAATAACCTTTGTTCCCCTAGGATCACCTCCTAAAGATTTCATTACCTTCTAGTCACTTGTTGGGCCTGGGTACCGATCATTTAACATGTGGTCCTTTGGGTGGCACTCCATGTCCAAAGTATAGTAGAAACAGTCTTTTGCCTCCCTTCCTAGTTGACTTTTTTTTTCTCCTTTTGAGCTCAACTCTGTTGCACATCCTCAAGGAACACTTTGATAACTCACCAGATAAAATAAATCTGTCTAGAACAGATTCTCATTAACACTGTGACACCTCATTCATAGCATATTGTAATTTTTGTATGTATTGTGTGATTATCTCGGGCAGTTAAGTGCTGATACATGTTAACGTAATTGAGCCTTGATACATGTTAACGTAATTGAGCCTTGAAAACATGGTAAGTGAAGAGGCCGACACAGTGACATGTTATTTGATTCCATTTCTATGAAATGTCCTACATAGGCACAATGTAAAACTTTTATTGTTTAAATAAGTCTTTCCTCAAAGCTTTACTTAATGCTTATTCTAGTAACTGTGTGTGCATAAATATACATATATACACATTTGTATATGTATTTATATACATTTGTATATATATGCATTTGCTTATATGTAAATACATATCAGGTTTTGTCTTAAATATTCTGAAGGCAAAATCTAAATGGTTACTAGCCTCAATTTTAGGTCTAGTGAAGGAATGAAAAAATAAGTGTGCTCTAGTATGATAGTGATGTAATAAAACAAGGAAGTGAACTAACTGCTTGTTTAAAAGTTTCTAAAGGCTTCATGGTAGAAGTGAAAATTAAGCCTGGCTGTGAAGGTCAAAGTTTTAATAGATAAATGAAAAAAAAAATAAGGAGACAGTAATTCTGTTACTGTATAAAAAAGAGGAGAGATAGTAGTATATACATAGGGATATAGGTATGAAAATAAGTTTGCTGTGTTTAAGGGATGGTAAGACTACTGACTTTTCTAAAATGAATATTGTTTTGGTAAGAGTATGTAAAACAGAATGGCACTTGGAATCATAGTGTATGCATTGTAGAGTTAGGATGAGGGCTACTTTCAAAGATAATGTTAATCTAGATGGGGATAAAGGTTTTATGGAGGTTGAATGTATCTGGGAGCATTTGGAGTCAGGGTGAGAGATAGAAGGCTGTTGGCAGAAGTTTAGGCAAAGAATGACGAGTCTCCAGCCCCCAGGTAGGGTCAGGGTAGAATGCACAGGAAATGATGACTTAGATACTGAATGAAAGGAGGTGAGGTGTGACAGCAGCTCCAGAGGACTTCTGAGGTTTCTTGACTGGGAGCTCTATTTTATAGTATTTGTTTTGGTTTTTATTATTTTATGGAAGAAAGCTTAGATTTTATGCACTTACAATTTTCTTGTTTGCTCTCTATTTCAGGTAGATCTTTTGCGAGCAGGAGAAGTTCCTAAAGCTTTTCCAACACATTATAAAGATTTGTGGGATAACAAACATGTTAAAATGCCTTGTTCTGAACAAAACTTATACCCTGTGGAAGATGAGGTAAGACCAAAACTGAAGTTCTTTTATTCTCTGAAGCATGGTTTAGTAAGTACTTGTTTGGCTTTTGATTCTGTTACGCAAAACAGAATAGTTTGATTGTGCTTTTCTTTTCCTATAAGAATGGTGAGCGAACTGCAGGGAGCCGGTGGGAGCTCATTCAGACTGCACTTCTCAACAAATTCACGCGACCCCAAAACCTGAAGGTATGTTCTTTTTGCCAATCTAGTCTCTTATACATATAGCTCTTAGAGAATTTCCATCAGACATTCTTTGATCATAATAGATTCAGGTAACAGTATTCTTTGCATGCAAAGTGTTGCTTCCTGGCACTAATGAAAGCTCCTTAGAGACCTTCTTGGTTTCCACTCCATCACTAGGAACTGAGAAGAATTGAGAGTTGTAAATGACTTGCCTGGAGCCATACAGAATCATTTGGAGAACTGGGAATAAGACTACAGTTTCTTGATTCCCTGTCCAATTTCCTTTAGTCTGAGCCTCTCTTTTATTTTTTGTTTTAAGATTATCATGGTTCTGAAGTGTGTTTAAAAGGAAATCAGGAAAGAATTATGACTTCAGCAGTATTTGCCTAAAGGGAAGCTGAGTTTGCTAATGATTAAAGTATACATTAAGTATTCTATTTTTATTCCTCTTAATATCGCTTTACCACTTTAATAACTTATTTATTAACTTTATATATTGGTAATAATTCACTTTTTGATTTTTTTTTTGTATTTCATTTAAGACCTGAGGGTAATCATTAGATTTCTATCAAAAATATACATGAGTATATATATTTTACTGTAGAACTATTAGCTATATGGACTTTTAACATCTTTATAAATATAGTGAGAAAATTTTCTATATTTAATGAAAATGGGTTTCATTTTCCTTCAGAGGCTAATCTGTGTGGGTAGTATCTTGGGTTTCATAATGGTTTCCATCCAATTTTTAAACTTTCCCTTCCTGTAGCTTTTGTATTCTTTGTTTTGTTTCTTTACATGAAAAACATTGATATGTTGTATAGTAATCTTGAAATTTCATTCCTTGTAAATGGTGTTTTTCAATCTTGTAGCGGACTCCTTTTAAATTGGCTCATAGGCCCAGGTGTGGTGGTGCCTCTGTAATCCCAGCTGTGTAGGAGGTGTAGGTAGGAGTATCAGGGTCCCAGGCCAGCCACTGGGCAAAAAGCTTGACAGCCTATCCAAAAAATAATTAAAGGGAAAAGGGTTAGGGTGTGGCTCAAGTACCACCTCAGTACCACCACCAAAATAAATAAATAGATAGATAGATAGATAGATTCCTAAATGGAAAAAAATTGTCAAGGTCTTCCAGTGTTTATATACCATAATGATAATTACATATGTGCAAACATAAAACTATAAACTTCTGTGTGTAGTACTTATATAAGTAGATCAGTTTGTCTTTTTCCATTGTAAGCATGTTCATTTATGTTCATTGTAAGCATTCTTTTATGTTAAGTGATTATAGAGAAAATATTTGTAGTCATCATTCTTTTTTTGCAAAGATAATCAGAATAATATGCTGAGAATATTTTTAAAATATCACATATAAGAAAAATTATTTTGTATTCTTATATTCAGGGGCAGTTGATGAATATTGGTGGGTGCAAAGATGTGATCTTTATGCAGAACATCATCTTGATCTTGTTGATCCGCATTTAGAATTTGATTTTACTGTATAGTGATATATCCTAAGATGACTTAACCTTTCCTCTTTTCATCTGTTTTAAAGTAATAGCCTTCATTCCTACAGAGAATGTGTTTTGACCTTTGTTTTCAAAACCCAAATTTATAAACTTACAAACATAAAAGCAGGCCATTCAAAATATTGTTTACACTTCATTGTGTAACACTGTCTTAGATCCTTTATGGTCTTCTTAATAGCCTGCTTGTCAGAATTTTCACATTTTCCTTCAGACATAAACAGGGAATAATCACAGTGTTCTATTACAGTCTGCTCACCTCTTAAGCAATTCCTGAATGCACTGTGATTATTTTAGTAAGGGGGCATTTGCTTTAATGTGAATTACCCTTTCTTGTTTATCATATGTAGATTCAACAGAACAGAATAATCCATTGAGATTTTCTTCTGTCTGCTTATGATAATTGTTTCCTTTGCTGAAAGAATGCTGTGAGAGAGGAATGGGGAAAGGAAACATTAAAGTTCACTGATTGAATAGAATGATCTTTATCCTGTTTATATGCCACTCGATGGTAGAGTTAGAGGGGTCAGAGAGATTCAAAGTTATAGGAACGGTGTCCTTATAAATAATATTTCTGTCAATAACATGCCTGATAATTTATACCTAAAGAATTTTGTATGTTATTATGCATTATGAACTTCAGAATGTGATAGCTAATAATATCATGTAGCATCCAGTTATTTATTTTTTATGACAAGCCCTCATAGTAGGCTACTTTCGAGATTTGAAGACTAAAGTATAAGTAAATACAGTCAATGCTGTATCTGTGGGTTCCTCATCTTTGGATTCAACTAACATATTTGAAGACAAAATTGTAGCTGTTACTGTACATGCACAAATTTATTTCTTGTCTTTATTCCCTAAGAGATACTATATAATTACTATTTACATTTGCATTGGATTAGTTGTCATAACGAATCCAGAGATGACTTCAGTTATATAGGAGTGTATTTGTAGATTATATATAAATCCTATACCATTTTATATAAGAGACTTGGGCATCTTCAGATTTTGTTAACCTGGGGTGGGGATTGGCTTTGAACCAATCCCACACAAATTCTAGAGGACAACTGTATTAGGGGCTAATACTAATTATAAAATGCCTTTAAAGAATGAGAGTATGAGTGCTATTTTAAATGCGTTTCCTTACTAATATTGGGGAATATTTTATGTATAAGAAAGTGCATCCTTTTCTAAGTGTATAATTTGATTAGTTTTGACATTTGTAACTGTTGGTGAACTCCTCATGAAAGTCAACAGACAGAACATTTCTTTTATTCCCAAAGATTTCTCTTACCTCTTCATATAGTCAAGTGTACTTTCTACTCTGGCTTCAGGAAACTAATTTCTTGTTTTTTACTATAGATTAGTTTATAGTTTCTGTGGTTGGAGTCTTATATATACTATAGTTTTCTGGCTTGTTTTACTCAGAATGAAGATGATTTGAAATTTACCCATGTAGTTGAGTATATTAATAGTTTGCTCCAGTGTATGTGTTGCTTATCCATTCGTCTGTTTATAGACAGTACATTTTTATGTCATGTGAGGCTTTGAATTCAGTACCAGTGATTAAGAAATAATTCTTTAAAATCTTGTAATTTCCTTTCTTCTTTTTTTGTTTTTGGTAGTACTGGGGTTAGAACTCTGTTTCACACCTGCTAGGCAAGTACTCTACCATCTGAGCCACGCCTTCAGCCCCTTTTGTTCTAGTTACCTTGGAGATAGGGTCTCGCTTTTTGCCCATGCTGGCCTGCACCATGGTCCTCCGTTTTAAGCATCCCACCATTCATGGGATGACAGGTAAGTGCCACCATGTCCAGGTATTTTTTCATTAAGATGGGGGTCTTGCAAAATTTTTTTCTCCAGAACCATGATCCTCCTGATCTCAGCCTCCAGTATAGCTTCACACCATCAGGATCAGCTATTGGTTGAGATGGGGTCTGGTGCACTCCCTGAGTGGGAAATACAGTCCTTCTAATCTCAGTCTCCCAAGTAGATAGGATTGCAGGTGTGAACCACCAGTGCCCAGCAATATCTTTTAATTCTTAACAGAAAATTTTATGATTTGTGAGAGAAAAATAAAAACTTTATCTTGTTATGTTCTTTTACTGTGAATGTTTTTCTTTTCAGGATATTCCCTGATTCCAAGTAAATAAGATGCATTTTATGGGGTCACTTTTTAATCTAGAGGCTGGATGATCATCTTTATGGCATGAATTATTTTTCAGGAAAAAGTTTCAGGAAACTCTTTAGCAAAGTGTTAACTTTTGTTTGATTTTGTGTCACTGGGGATAGAATCCAATGCTAGGCAAGTATTCTCCCACTGACCTACATCCCTAATCCAGAGTGTTAATTTTTAAAACCTCTTTAGTGGGCTGGTGGGGTGACTGGGAGTTGCCTAGTAAGCTGGAGGCCCTGAGTTCAAACCCCCAGTACTGCCAAAAAAAAAAAAATTATTAAACTTCTTTAATGAAGAGGAAAGTTGGAAGGTTTATAGTAATAATGTAACACAGTGGTTTTCAGACTTGTATATTCCTTCAGCAAAATTTTTTGAGTGCGTATTACCAATATAGTTGTTTATAAATTCTACATATTACTTTTATTATCATGTATAATAAAATGTAATTTAATTGTAAATAATAGATTTTTCTGAATAACTAATGATTGCCTTATGCATGGTTGACTTTGGAAACTAAGTGTATAGTTATATCTATTAGACAGTAAAGTTAATACCAGTAGATGGCATAATATTTTGACTTTTCATTCAATGTAAATGTAATTTGTGTGAACTGCTGGAAAAAGATAACCATTTATACTTACCTTATAAAAGTAACTGATAGTAGAAGAAAAAAAAAGACCATTTTATAATTCAAGGTAGTATTTCTCAATCTATTTTTCATTATTGCCCTCTACTCAGGAGACTTTTTACACATTCCTTCCTAGTCTTATCCCCACACAATGACATTTTGGTACTACAAAAGTACCCTATGTCTGTGTGTCGGTATATTCAAATATACGTTATACATACATATTACACATATATAATTGTATATTGTAATCCTCTCCAACCCTAACCATTGTGATTGCTAAGTTTATTTTTATAACTGAGATCCAATTTTGTTCACGTAGAGCATATCACCCCCGTTCATAATGTATGCTTAAGGGGGTGAATTTAACTAAGATATATTGTAAGCACTTTTGTTAATATCACAGTATACCTCCAGTACAACAATAATATGATGACAGAAATATCCAATGCAGTTAATGAATGGTCGTCAAGATCTGTATTTGAATTCCAGCTTAAATATTTTAGTTTACTTAGTGCCCTGTACATCATTACATATAAAGGTAAGAATTAACATTAAAAAAAAATAGAATGCATGCATTATCTGGTATTATGTTTTGCCCCTTTCACTTGACTTTTTTAATATATTCTTTTTAAGTATGCATTTTGCTTATCCATAGCTACTGATGGCAGTAGTTAATGTACAAGGAAGCTTGCTCAGCATTAAGAAATTTACTGGAATAGTTTATAGAGAAGGACAGCTATTCACTAGATAATTTGTGTGGCCGTATCATGAGGTTTTGTTTCTGCTTTTTCCATAGGATGCTATTCTGAAAATACAATGTGGCATATTCAAGAAGTGGGACTTACAGCTTTGGTTGATTTTTGGGATAAGGTAAAAGTGTGCTTGTATTTCTTTAGTTATGAAATAATACAACTTATAAGAAGGGTTGAGAAAAATACCAAAAATTATCATTTTATTTTTATGAATTTTCTAGGTTCCTCCTCATCCCTGTCAAGTACTGTGGATTGAACTCAGGGCCTTTCCAAGAAATAACTCTCCCAGTTGAACATTACTCCCAGTTCTTTTTTTTTTTTTTTTTTTTCTCTTTAAATTTGTTTCTCATGTAGGTTCTTAAGGAACTT